AGAAAGCATTGTGGAAGTGGGGGTGTAAGATAGTCATATGGAATTCCCAACGTTGGTTAACCATCGTCCTAATGCACTGCCACTGTCTCCTACATATGGTCGACCACACATCCTATTTGTCGGCAGTTGGATTTCCTTTTGATCCTAGCAATGTCTAGGTAACAACAGATACAAGATCCCGGTTGGTGTACCTTTCCATTAGGCATCCATGGTTCGGCTCCGACGATGCCTGCAAGGTATAAGCCACTCAATGTGGCTGAGACATGCAAGTTCGGATACAACTCTTACCGTTGAGAATGCACTCATTCTATTCCTGAACAAAGTAGCCTAATTGTCCCAGTTTATTGTCTCTTCAAACGAAAAAGAATACTACAACAACAACAATAACTTCAAGATATATCCCTCATGCCTGAATCATCACCACCATCAACCCTCCAAAGGAACACTCCCCCAAGTCTATAGACCCTGACCCTGCGTCTAGTATAAAAAAAGCGCTTGCTTATCCGATAGCGCTCCTTGCCTAGTACTTACGCAGTAGCAAAAGCACCTGCGTCATTCTCCGAGAGTGGAAAATGTCCATATCATGGCGCAGCAATGCACGAATACTTAGTACTATGCAACTCCCCGGTGCTCATGATTGGTGCCTGTCACACGGGCGCTAATCTCATACCTTCTCGAGCATTCAGCTTTGGGGGCAGAAGGGCGCTTGTGATGGATCGTCGCGCCGTCCCCGTGTATCACGGGCAACTCAGCCAGCTGCGATGCACCAATCCCCGCCCTCTACTAGTGACTAGCTCTCCTCCCCCCCGCGGCAACTGACTATGAGCGATCTCTCTCAGCCCTTCGAATGATTTCGGTCATGCACCCTGCACGGCTGGGCTGGGCTGACTGGGGCTAGACTATACCTACAGGGTCGATGGCTATGCGCCCTTTTTTGAATTATTTAGAGGCGCCCTGCAGCCTTGTCTTTCGTCTTCTGTTCTTAACCTTCGTGTGTTGTGTGCATTGAGTTTCGGACTTATTCCATTATTCAATTTCTAAACTTCCACTAGTATACATCGCCACATCTTGCCAACACGCACAGCCAAATTCAAAGCATGTCCGACGTCGTCCGCTCAATTACCTTCCAAACACCCCAGGAATACTACGCCGGCTTCAAATCCAGACCGAATTTGCAAAAGGCGTTCTGCGACATCGACGACGAAATTAATCTCAAGGCGTATTTGAAACTCTTGAAAGATTCTCAGACGCGTAATTTTGTGCTGGACTTCGGAAATGATGATGCTTGGTGTGCTGTGAATCTGGATCAAGGTGATGTCGCGGCGCTGTTGCGGAAACCTGTATGTGTTGTTGAACGGGCCATTGCGTATGTGTAAACCGGAATGCTGACAAGGCTTAGAAACCGAAGTGTTTTGGTACGAGGTGGATGTAGGTTCTGGTTTTCACTATTGTTTTCGTTGTAAGGGATTGATTGCTGACTTGTCTTATCTAGTAATATCTGGGCTCCGGAGCAACAGAAGGATTTGATCAAGACCCTCACAAACCACTATGGTGTCTCGGAGCGGCTGCAGGGTTTGATGTGTACGGATCCGGTGGAACGCCCGTCAAAGCCTCCTGTGCCTCCTGAGCCACAAAGGAATAACTTCCGCTCGAATGATGTCGACCGCTCGCGCCGTTCTCGTCCGGATGATGTGGAGGGAAATGCCTTGCAAAACCTGAGACATCCAGAAGAAATTGCGGCACTAGCGGCATTCAGAGGTATTACGTTTGGCAACGTCATTGATCAAATTTGGCATTTTTGCTCTGTGGATTATGGTGCACAGTGTATGCATATTCCTTAACTCATTGAGGCAGCACTAACGCGAATCTAGATACCTGTGTCGGGTACAATTCGCTGTTCGTGATTCCTCAAACTGACCAGCATAATGGGAGAGAGTTGCCGGATGGGAAACGACTATGGACTTGGTTAATCTTGTGCCATGATGGTAAGTTATGCTACTGGTGGCAAGGGCATTTGTGCTGACTTGTCAAGGGACGGTCATTTGCATGCAGGAGAATCCGTTTCCTGGTCTGTCTGGGCCATCGGAGAAGGAATTGCAAGCTGTACTCGGCGTAGTCCGCAGAAACATCCAGCTCATTTTTGCGGGTGTCTCGAAGCAGCACTTTGCCTCGTCGGAAAGCGACTCGTTGGTTACTATTCGAGTGAGGCCATTTCTGGAGGGCGGTCCAGAACAGGTGAGCATCAGGCAAGACGATGGTCCGAGCTTGTTGTTCTATTATATTTTCGACGACTGGGTTTCGTCGTATGCTCTCGTTGCGCAACGCGAACATAAATATGGGGTATCGCTTAACAGACTTGTAAGTTCATGGTGGCAATGGCTCTGTATCTTATCACAAGAATACGCTGACATTGTCCAGAGGCAAGACATGTTATCGAAACCGGAGGTTGACCTTGTCCACGAATTACATCGGCTGGGTAGACAGTTGGCCGTCCTGAGACGTCTCTACCAGAGTTACGAGCTTATAATGATGCGTATACTGCAGAGACAGCGTCTACTGCGTGACGAGGCCCGGTCAAATCGCCTTCCCATGGCAATGGGTCAAAGCTTCGCAGAGAATGATGTGGGAGAAACCCGCCGCTCGACGAGGGAGAGTTTTAGCCTTTTGACCCCAGATGCCGACGTAGGGGTCCAGTTGAGCCCACCTGCTGTAGCTCGGTTCGAAAGACTGCTCGATCGAATCAAGCTATATTGCCTGTCGGAGATTGAGAGCTGTCTGACAGAGAAGGAAAACCTCACTTTCCTTGTAGGTTTGCCCATCTATAAATAAAGGGAGATGCTGACCGGTTGATAGAACTTCAACTTGATTGCCCTTAAAGACTCACAAGCTGTTGAGAAACTGACACGGATCACGATTCTACTTGCAAAAGTGACCATCCTGTTTTTACCTGTCAGTCTGATGACTGGCTACTTCTCCACCGAACTCCGCAACGTCAAGGGCGAATATACGATCAATCAGTACTGGGTCAGCTTTGGTGTGATTATGTTCCTGTCCATGGTGCTGCTCTGGATTTTCGGATATGCCAGCGACACCGTGGAAGGCAAGACAATCTACCAATCGTTATCCCGAAGCTTCTTCCGCATGTCGAGAGACCGGGTCTCCCATCGTAGAAACGAGACACCGGGCGGCACGAGTCGTTGATCCTGATGCGTCGAGATTTGTACACTGCAAAAAGAGATACCCAGCCTTCAGAATGCATAGGACTGCTTTATAATGCACAGCTCTGCACACAGGTGAACAGATTACAACTTCCAGGCACCGTAAGACTATGCAAAGACCAATTGATGCCATAGATCTCAGCTAGGAGACCAGTCACATGTCTACTCCACTGCTGCTACTTTATTCCGCAGTGCACGTTTTGAATGGCTCCTGACAAGCCGATGCTATGTGATCTGTTTGGCCAGAGGGATGTTACCTATCGGGTGCATTTGCCCCATCCAAATCAGGGTCCATCAAGACCCTACCACATGCTCTCGCAATTATTCTCCTGAAGGCCCACACCAGCAGCACGAGCCATGACGGCATGGCCTCGAACAACTTCGGAAATCCGTGATATGGGGAAATGCAAATGACACGCCTCTAGGAGACACGGGGTGATGCGGCAATGGCCCGTTGCTATGAGGATCGCTTGCTTATCTGGCACGAGGGATGAATAATAGCATGACGCGTAGTGAGCTGAAAGTGGCCCCTGTGGGTTCCGAGGGCTTGCACGAACCCAAGTGTTTAACGCAACGGCGTACTTTATGAGCGTGAGATGATTCGTCAATCTGCGTAAGGGAGTGATTAGTGCGATGGCCATCAAATTACGGAATTTACCCTGGGATAATCCTCATCAATTCCCCAATGTTCAAGTGAAATTTGGAAAGACAAGACATGAGCACAAGACATCTAACAAGTAACAACCCTTCTTGACTTCCACCCCATAGTAGTGCCACCGAAGGCGATCCACTGGGACGGGGTACCCAGAAAGCCTTGTTCGGGAACCTATCAGGACTCGGAGTGGGCACCGATCCGGGTGTCTGGACCTTTCCTCGGGACCAAGAGGGGCCCAGGGGGGCAAAGGAAGGAGACAGATACTAGGCAGGCGAGTATATTGAGCAAAGCAAAGAGGCTGTGAACGGGTAGCAGCATTAGACCGTTGTGGGCGACATGAGGATAGGCAACGATGAAGCCCGTTTCCATTTGGCGTAAAAACGGTACGGACTTGTTTCGTGGGTAAGCCGATCTCGAGGCAGCAACAGGGATTGCTTGATTGGTATCAACCGGGAATCCATTGACGGGAAACACCGTGTCCTCTTCTTTCCTTTCGGGAGCCGCAGTCTTGAGCAGGAGGACACACCAGAGCCTCCGTCTAGACGGTGTGTGTCTGTTGGATGGTATTAGGTATAGTTGTGAACTCTATTACTATCATTCTATTAAATCTAGATACTCGTTCTGTCTTCAATGGCATGTCTCGTTTGCATTGTAGTTCTGTAGAAGACGTCTTCGTAAATGAGAATATAATACATACTTGGTATTTTTTACCAGCTGGTTTCGTTAGTGACGGAAGCTACGCCGAGCGGCTGAATTTCTCAACCCAAAAATCCCACCACCTCGTCAAAAAAACCGTCTTCTGGCGTACGGCAAGGGAAAAAAGACCTGAACCTGACCAAGCCTGACTGAAACTGACTGACGGACTCTGACTGACTGAACTGACTGACTGACTGACTGACTGATCCCTCCCTCACTATCTCCAGCTTGTTCTTGTCTTGTCTCGTATCCACGCCTTCCACTCTTCCTCTTTCTCCCTCCCTCTCTCTTTCTCCAGCTTCAACTGCAACCTGGTAAGTCTTGCCTATATCCCCTTCAACTCCCTCTCCCTCTCCCTCTCTCTCTCCCTCTTCCCCCCCTCTCTTTCCCCCCGGCTGCTTCCTCGCCATTTTGTCACCCGATCACACACCTCTATTTCCTTCCTCTCCTTTCCTTAACGGCCACCGCTTTCTCCCCCTGATTTGTCCTGCCCGCCGTGTTTCCCCGGCGTGACTACCTTAACCTGATTACCTTCGCCCCTCGTCCACCACTCCATTCCATCCGTCATACCACTTGCCCTTTTACCCTTATACTATACTTTCCCCCTCCTTTGCCCGACGCCACTAGGTCTGTGATCTATCGCTTGACCCTCTCTCCCTGACCTCTCTCCTCCCCGACCGTGCGGTGTGGATCTCGCACATCCTGGACTCTCTTGGTCAGATTGATTCTAACATCGCATTCTCATCCCTAGACCTTTGAATCTCACGCAACCGCCGTCATGGGTCTCACTTTCTCCAAGTTGTTCGACCGCCTATGGGGCCGCAAGGAGATGCGTATTCTGATGGTCGGTCTCGATGCCGCCGGTAAAACCACCATCCTGTACAAGCTCAAGCTGGGTGAAATTGTCACCACCATCCCCACGATTGGTCAGTCCTCCTCTTCCTCCTCCCTCTCCTCGGTCCAGACACAGCAGAACTTGGCATCGATCAGTTGTTGGGCTTGGCTCAACGCCGGAACGGAACGATATCGAACATGGAACGCAAATCAATTCACGATGAGAAAACAAAACTGACTGGCGTTGTTCTGTGCTGTGCAGGTTTCAACGTCGAGACCGTCGAATACAAGAACATTCAGTTCACCGTCTGGGACGTCGGTGGTCAGGACAAGATCCGTCCTCTCTGGAGACACTACTTCCAGAACACCCAGGGTATCATTTTCGTTGTCGACAGCAATGACCGTGACCGTATCGTCGAGGCCCGTGAGGAGTTGCAGCGCATGCTGAACGAGGATGAACTCCGTGACGCCCTTCTCCTGGTGTTCGCCAACAAGCAAGATTTGCCGGTATGCTTGAAATCCACTTCTTGTACAACAATGTGGGGGCCGAAACAATGGATATTGACCGTTTGATTTCTTTTTCTTCTAGAACGCCATGAGCCCTGCCGAGATCACTCAGCAGCTTGGTCTGCAGAGCCTCACCCGCCGTCCCTGGGTAAGTTATACCCCCCTCGCATGTCGACACCTGAGGTGTCTGTTCCCGAGGATCGAACCCCAACTAACGCGCTTGCTTCCCGTTTTTAGTACATCCAATCCACCTGCGCCACGACTGGTGACGGTCTGTACGAGGGTCTGGAGTGGCTTGCTGAGACGCTGCGGAAAACGAACCGCGACTAAACTGATCATCTAATGAGTGGAAGAATACCTGGAAGTTTGTGAACCTGGGAGTTGCGGATGCTGGATGGGGAACCGGGGCCGGCAAAGTCACCTCGTGTAGGGGAAAGGGATTATGCTTGCTAAACTTGGTGGTTCTTGTATGTTCTCTAACGGCTCTTCATTCCTCTATGCTATTAGCTTTTACTTTTTTTTATCATCTCTTTTGTCACCCTGGCGCCGCCCGATTCTTCTTTTTTTTTACGACTTCTTCTCTGCCTTGATGCTTCTCAACCGCATGCTGTTTCCTTACCTCCCCTGTCCTCTCGACTCGACCTCGTGCTCGGAGCATAATAAGGGAAGGAACGGAAACAAGAGACAAAATGGACAAAAGGAAGGCAGTGTATGCATGGACTGGGCTGTGATGCATTTTGGCCCGAGAATGAGAATGAGAATGTAGAACGAGTGCATGTAGTGGCCGGTTTTTATTTCACTTTAGTGAGTTGTGATAACATTTTTATAAATATAACATGACTATGACTATGACTATGACTAGTATTATCGAGTGCAGTCTATCCATCTTTCAGATTCCTCCGCTTTTCCATGCGTCCATCAACAACATCACATTACCACATCCCACATCCCCTGTCCCAATTATTCCATAGTACTTACTATCTTTCTGCGATACTATATATATGCGAACTGATATACTATACTACCGTGTGTATACAGTGTATATATATGAATATATATGCTCATTAGCCTCACCTGCATCCCTCCACAACTTGACGACGAACAGGTCCACCCTCCCGCTTCTGCGTCATCTGCTGCACCAATTCCTCTCCGCTCACCCACCACGCAGCAGCACGGATGATCTTCAAGACACATTCCAACTCTTCTTGATTTCTCGGCGCATATATCATGACGAACCCCGTCGGCACGGTCCTCAAATAACACCACCACCAGCTCTCTCGCGTCAATGGATGCCGCTGGCCCCAGCCCCGTTCGATCACAACTTTCACGTCCGCCGGATGCAGCGTTAGATGCAGACTTCCGTCGCTGGGATGCGCGTGGCACACTTCTCCGTTGCAGGTGCGGCGATGACGCCATTGTTGGTTGCGGGACATCATCAGTGAGGAGATGTCGCGGTCTTTGAGTGTGCCTCCACCTTGTTGGTGGGTGTTGGTGGGGGTGTCGGTGCTGGAGCAGAACATGCCCGTGCTATGTTTTTCGAAACACGAGGTCCCTTCGTAGAGGGCCTCGGGGTTTTGGGATACGAGGTGCTGGATCTCGCGGGAGAGGGTCTCGTACATGGCTGGATTGGCTTTTTGGGTCATTTGGCGCTGGGGAGCGATTCCCGCGACGGTGGGGCGCGGGCCATGGCGTTGGGGGAGGCTGCTGGTGTTTAGGAGGCCGGTCTTGGGGAGGAGGGTCAGTGGAAGGGAGGGTGGTTCGAAGGGGTCCCTGATTGTGAAGAGCCGAAGGAGGCAGATGCGGAGGTAGCCTGTTGGGGTCGAGGGAGTGCCGCCGGGCCCGAGGGCGAGGAAGGCTTGGTAGTCTTTGTGGATACGGTGGAGGAGGAATATGGTTGGTAGGAGGAGGATTGGCAGGAGGAGGAAAATGCTGTCTAGGGGAGGACTGTTGGTGTGGGTGCTTGTTGGGTGTTCCTGTTTGGTGTTAACTGAGTTGTTCTGGGTAGCAAGGAGGTACGGACCATTGTCGTCAAGTCTTGATTCACCCTGCCTTATGTGGTAAAGTCTGGTGCTACTTGGGTGGGAGGAAGGGTATAGATTCCAATTCAATTGACTTCGAGTCGGGAAAGCTGCATACCTCCGGGAGTATGTGATTCACTTCCTAGTTTTATAGTTAGTCATCGGCATCAAGACCGCAGGTGCCACGATACTGGACTGACCCAGTTGATATTGAATGGCCGGGGAAGCAATCCGTGCTATCCGTCGGGGCATCGAGACCTCCTGATCAAGAATTTGAACCTGCTTGGTGCAGCGTGCATGGACAGGTGGGCCAATCATCACCGTTGCATCACACACCGCAAGTACTGCGAGGCGAAAGCTGTAAAGGCGACAAAGAAGGTTGATCTCCGTTTATAGGGGGCACAGCAATCAAGTGCCACCATTCCGTGTGCGATTTAAAAGGTGGCCATCATGCGATCTTGGAACACGAGATGGATCGTCGTCACTGTGATGTATGACGACAGCTATTCCAATGGGAGTGATCTCGGGAACTAAAATAAAGCAAATATTGATTAGCGAGTTAGTTTCCGCAGCGTCCATCGGTCAGCAACGGCATGCCGACCCAGTCAGCGGGTGACTTTTCCTATCCCTTTGGAGGTTTTCATCACGAGGCGGTGCTCCCAGTCCAGCACATTCTTGCACGATGGGCTTAGGCTTGGTCTTTGTTAGGCTTTCATACCTGGCGGTGGAATGTAAGTTGGACTCTAAGCATGTGGAGAGAAAGCCGGGGTAAAATTGTGGGCCCGTGGGTAGGGTCATGCTGGACTCGGTGCTTGCTTTTCTTTCTTTCTTACGAAAAAGGGCTCGGATCGATCCTGCTGGAGATTCACGACTGTGTTGTCAGTTATATTGGGTCAATTGACAATTGAAGAGTGATTTCACCGCCATTGCCGATGAATTGCGGGAAAATGGTCATTCCTAGAGATCGAGTGTAGTCCAGGTGAGGCGGCCAGCGTCGGATCAGGAAGATAATGCGTATGCACCTTGCAGATCAATGGAGAAGGCACGAGGGAGGCCTATCCTTGTGCGTGGTTTCTGCCTGGTCGTTGTACTTTCTGTTGTTCCTGTCTTCTCGTTCTGGTGGTTGCTTCTGTTGGCCTGATTCAGTCACAGTTATGCCTCAGGCGACAACATGCCTATACTGGACTAGACTATAATAGTCAATGCCTCTAACCGCATGTGGACAGCACGAGACATTCCATCCCAAATGAGACTCACTTTGGATATCCGGATGATTTGATGAAGGCAACTTCATCATGGCTGATTTTCAGAGTGCTTCTACTCTACATTGTGAGGAGCACCACCACGTCCTCCCTCATCAGTCAATCATGGCGCCTTACCGATTCAAGACAACCTCGACGCCTTGCGCCAAGCCGTCCTGCCGGGCTAGTGCATCAGCACGGCCGTCCCTTGGGCAACGCTTCCTGGCCGATCTACCAAACAGCTCGCTATGCCGTTGCCTGTCGGCAGCTCACTGTTTTGTTGATATCGAGGTTGAGACAGGTTTGCTCTCGCCATTATCTCCTGTTAACTTGTTTGGGATCCACTGCCCTTGATCCGTGGTTACCCTGGGGTTTTTGCGGCTGGTACTGGTTTGTTTGTATTCACTGCTATTATAGTAGTGGTATACCACTCTAACAAGCAGACCATCGCAGACGTGCGCAACAGTCGCACGCCCATTCCCGGGCCCAGTCATCCCGAGTGTATACTCGCTGCAGCAATTGCATACTAATTCGGAAACAAGTCGACTGCTGAGCATTCTTTTCTCCCCGAAGCTCGATGCCGTTCTATTGATCGCCTGATCCACTCGCATACCTCTGACGTCGCTACCATTTCCTCCTTTCTATGCGAGCATAGATCCCCGCCATGCCTGCCCGTTCGAAGAGGTATCAGGTCGATGCATCATCGCCCTATTCGAGCGACAGCCGCGATGTTGTCGACATTGAGAAGCAACCATCGAGGCCGAGGCGCCACTACCGTCGTGATAGCTACAGCTCGTATGATTCGGACAGTGAAGATGACTCGGCAAGCTCCTCCTCGGTGGCTTCCTATCGCCCCATGCTGAACAGAGCGCCTGTGACCCCCGCGCGACGGTCCCGTAGCAGGGCAGGTTATCGCATACCTAATCGGATCATGAGATGGCTCTGTCTCGCGCTACTGGCCTTCTTGGTCTTGTTCATCTGCACCTTGTTCCGCTTTACCTTCCTCTCAGCTGTCACTCGCGTCAATGTTCCGTTACCCAAGCCTGCCGCAAAGCCGGCACAATGGGAGAGTTTCCCTTTCCTGAAACGCTACCATGGCGGTATCCGGTCCCTGGTATCGCGAAGCGAACAGGTGCCGGAGTACCCCAATGACAACGCGGAAGTTTTGGGCATCGAAACCGAGAATGTTGCGAATGATACCGTCATTCAAGCCCGGGATGAGACATTGCCATTCTCGAGCTCTATCTTCAATCCGTATCCCGACTACTCGTCTACGGAATATGTTGAAAAGTACGGCGAGAAGCGCGATTGCTTCCTTGATGAAGACGAGACCCTACGGATCCCTCTGGTGCATCACTACCCTGGTGTACCTCGTGGGTTCCCAGATGCTATCATGGGCTCCAACGAGATGATCGGTATTAAAGACGACGTTTGCTTTGACCGTTTTGGACGTCTGGGTCCTTACGGTCTAGGCTACAGTGTGCGAAAGGGTGGTATTGGCGCGGGCCTCGAAGGCGATCGTGAAGGCTCAGAGCGTGTCTGGGATGACGTTCCGCCAGTTGACTTTCGTCGAGTTGACTGGGCAGCTGCGCAGAATCGATGCTTGGCATCGAACAGTCATCGATTTAGCGATCTCCCTTCATCCCAGTCCGACCGCTTCCGTACTATGTCTGTGGGTGCGCCAGACACCAAGCAGGCGCCTCAGGACAAGGCACAGTCTGATGGAAAGTCCTACCTACCTCGGACAGCGTTCGTGATCCGCACGTGGCATGATTTCCACTACACGCCAGACGACATCCTGTATCTGCGAGCCCTCATCTCTGAGCTGTCACTGCTTTCCGGCGGCGAATATACCATTCATTTCCTCGTCCAGGTCCGGGACGAAACTCTCCAGATTTGGGCTGACGACGAGGTCTACGAGCGTGTGCTGAACGAGGCCCTGCCAGCTGAATTCCGCGGCATGGCTACCCTCTGGTCCGAGCGGCAGATGAATCTCATGTACCCTGGTCTGGAAGAGAACTGGGCCCGCGGACTATCCGTGCATGGCGTATACCGCAGCACCTACATGCCCATGCAGTATTTTGCGCACCAGCACCCCGGGTACGACTACTACTGGAACTGGGAGATGGACGCCCGATACACCGGCCACTGGTACCACCTCTTCGACAAGGTCATCAACTGGGCACGAGCCCAGCCACGCAAGGGCCTCTGGGAGCGAAACGCCCGATTCTACATCCCCTCGGTGCACGGCACCTGGGAAGACTTCCGGCAGATGGTCCGCGTGCAGACCGACATCGGCACCAACAGCCCCAACAACCTTTGGAGTGCCGCCAGCGCCTCTCGGCCCGGTCAAGAACACACCCCCGAGACCCTGAAAGCGCAACAGCAACAACAAGGCGACAAGCCAATCTGGGGCCCCGAACGACCCAACGAACCTGACATCCTGGAAGTCCCCTCGGAAGGCATCCCACCCACCACGATTGACAAAGACCGTTACGAATGGGGCGTCGATGAAGAAGCTGACCTCATCGTCTTCAACCCCCTCTTCGACCCCGAAGGCACAACCTGGCCCCTCCGCGACGACGTCACCGGCTACGACCGCTCCACCGGCCCCCTTCCTCCCCGCCGCGCCTCCATCATCACCGCCTCCCGTCTCTCCAACAAACTCCTCCAAACCATGCACCACGAAACCGTTCACAAGCGCCACTCCATGTTTTCCGAAATGTGGCCCGCCACTACAGCCCTCCACCACGGATTTAAGGCCGTCTACGTGCCCCACTCGGTGTACATTGACCGCCGCTGGCCGATTCAGTACCTTGAATCGGTGTTCAATGCTGGCCGGAACGGTGCGTCGGGTGGTGCCCGCACTTCTGTCTTTGGCGATAGGGAACACAATTTCCGCGGCTCGACATGGTTCTATTCTGCTGGCTTTGCACCGAACTTGTGGAAACGTTGGCTGGGGTACAAGGTTGATAATGAGGGAGGTGAGCAGGCGGAGTTGGCGGGTGAGGGGAGAATGTGTTTGCCGCCGATGCTGTTGCATCCGGTTAAGGAGGTGGAGATGATTATTGACGATGGGGAGGAGAGGGGTGATGAGTAGTTTGTTGATGATGGATGGTTTACATGCTTGGTAAATATGTGGCGAATGGCGTTGGGACTCTGGACTAAATGATTAATGAATGTATGTATATGATGGATATGCTAAAGGTTATGTATGTATGGTATATGAAACAGTATTTACACTAAATTGTTGAGGACGTTGCAGTAAAGTGGTAGGGCGAATCAGAATATAGCAGGTAATGAAAACTACATGGGACCAACTGATATATTGGCTATGAAATAGTCTGTACACCCAGAACATAAGACTTCTTTAAAACCCAGGTATATCCAAATCCAAACCAAGATTATCCCAATCCCAAATCTGATTCAGATCACTCAGATTTAAATCCAGATCCATGCTAGGGATACCATCTAGTCCTAGTCCACCGGCAGACGCATGGATGTTAGGTATTATTCCAGATGAATCGAGTCCTCCTGACACTGACGGAACTATACCATTATCCTGTTGACCTGCAATATTACCGTCGGACGAAGAACGGCCCGCATCATCAATAATACCAGTGGTAGACGTTGTAGCAGAAGACCTCTGCGCACAGATCACCTCCCTCTCCTGGGCAGAGAGGGGTATGTTACCCACAATCTTCGCAAGAACAGCATAGCAAGTAGCGCCTGTTTTGGCCGTTCTGGCGACATCTTTCAATGTGCTTAGGGCTAGAGATATGCACTCGAGTACCTTATCCCGCTGGGGAAGGTCCCGATGTTTGTCATGGATAAGAGCAGAGCAGAGGTACGCAGCCGTGTCGAACATCAAGAACGGCGCGAAGTGGAATTTGCCATTTGCGGGGAGGAGATGCGAGAGGAGCTGCTGGGCTGAGAGCATTAGGTTCAAGGCGCAGGATACTGCAGTTGGTTGGAGGGATCTTTCGAGGTTGGGTGTGTGGGTGGTGGGGTTGATGGTGAGACAGGGTTTGAGGGGCATGAAGGTGACCATGTGGGCTAGGGCGTGGAGTTGATGGCGTTGCATTGGAATGTAGGTGTGGGTGTGGTCGTGGGTGGTGTCGGGGGCCGTGAGGTGGAAGATTTGGGGGAAGGTTTCAGTCCATCGGGTGACTTCTTGTTGGATGGCGATTGCTTGGTTGGGTGATAGGATGCCGCTCATTACTCCGGGGATTGTGGAGATTCTTTGTCCTAGTTGGCATTGGAGGGATATGGATGTTACTGGGGAGGGGGTATTTGCTTCTATGTTTGGTGTCTCGAGTCGTAGGTTAGGTAGCTCGAGGGAACAGCAGCTGCTGTTGATGATGAATGGTCGTGATAGAAGGAGCGACATTTGCCTGTAGGGTTAGTATGAGACACTGCAAAAGGGTAGTGGACTTACCAGTCCCAGGTGTAAAGAAGACACCATATCCGTCTTCGCATCTCCCGTTCGAATTCAGACACTTTTGCTTTGGAGGAGCTACGATGCATTCCTATTCCGGATCAGTATCCGACTGGCTAGATGTACGAGGGCACTGACCTAGTTCTTGGGCCTCGTGGATTGCAGCCCCCAAGGCGTGCCATGACTCGACAAATAAGGCTTCGGTCTTGTACCATATTGCACCAAGGAAGAGTTGCTGTACTTGTGTCAAACCGCCTTTTCCTGGTCCAATGGTGTTGCTGAGCTGCTTGGCAGTACGATGGTACTGCTCGGAAAGACTTGCATAATTTTCGCCCAAATCACTCTCCAGTTGCTGTCGCGTCTCGACATCCAGGTAGAGAATAGTGCAGGCGCAAACATGCAGCAGCAGGGCTGTAAAGGCGGGGGTCAATGACTGGCCATTGGCTTTCCCTGACCACCACGTCGCATAGTCGTGCGAGAAAGTCGGCGGGTAAAGGCAATAGTACTGGTCATTCATCTCACTCAGGAAGTACTGTACCAGGGTATCTGGCACAAGTCGCACAAGTAAGCAGGCTATCACGAAGAGCCGTCGCCACATTTACCTGTATAAGGTTTGGGGGGAATAGTGCGAATTGCTTTTTCCAATTCGGGCGATACGAGTCCCTGGGAGGGTGATAATGCGGCTGATTGCTGTACACAAAAGTACTTTAGCATATGGCCAATTCTAGATGAAATTGCAGTCTTACGGATTGCTCAGCGCCATTTGCAAGTTGATCATCGCTATCGGGGAGGTATCCCAGCATGCGGAAATCATCCCCGGTGGCGATGCCCGACACGACTGAGCCCGGAGCTTCTGTAAGGCTTTGTCCATTGTCGCTCAGAGACACATCTGTGGCCCTGCGAGTGTCAACAGTGAAATACGACAATCGAGGTATCTATTTGAGCGGACCTTGGATCATTACAGACAGGCTTAGCCTTGAGCACCTTCTTCGGTGTGAATTTACAGAGATGGGCAATCCTTCGTGCTTGGCAGTGATTGCAGGGCCATTCCCGGCTGCACTATATACCGTAGTGTTAGCACATGTACTCAAGCTGCTCGAGATTCATGATAGGTTCGGATGCTTGCCTTTTGCTTCCGACGCTGACACTCGGTGCATGCGGTAGCCAAGCGGACCGGCTTTCCGGGAGCCTGAGCTTGGACCATGGCCGCTAGGGGAATTTGTGACTGAGGATGCAGCGGAACATTCCCGGATCCTGGAAACTGGGATCGATAATGAGGAGAGAAGCAAACTAGATGGGACTAGTGGAATGGTGGAAGTATGAAGAGTCGAGATCCAGTGACCCACTGGTCAGCACTGTCATGTGAGTATTAGTCAGGATCTGTCCGGAGCGTGGGCTGAGCTCAAAAGTGCGTGTCCTGATCATTCCCCTCTGAGCTTATACAATTTGATCATGTGACCCATTTAAACAGTGCGCGACTTGACAACGGCTTGTCATTTTCTAGCCCTCTGTGAATCCCAGCCCCATTGTAATGAGTATGTCTCGTATGACCCTAAACTACTCTGTAAATGTGGATATACTCCCAAGTAACCATAGTATCAATCCAACTTCTCATAGAAGTAAATTTTGCTTTCAACACTCTTTGCAATAACCCTCGAGGTTTTCCTCCTCCATACCAATACACTACTGCAAGACTACCCTAAATCTTCCACCCAACACGCCCTTAAACAGCAACGGCAGACCCTTTCTCCTCTGCCAACGGGAGCGAATAGTCGCGATAGAACTTCTTCCGGATGAAATCTTGGACCGTCTCCCCGCTCGTATCGTTAGGATTCAGCGGGTTCGTCGCCTCCAAATCTCCATGCCAGAAAGCGGGCACCGCGAAGCGCTCCCCACTCGCCTTGTTGATCACCCGGTGGAGGTTGCTCTTGTACTCCCCGTCCGTCCAGCGCTGCACCATGTCCCCCAGATTGATGACGAATCGGTCCTCAACGGCGGGAACGGGGATCCACTGTTCCGTGGCGGCGTGATAGACCTCAAGACCATGCTTTCCGGGGTCCTGCAGCAGGATGGTGAGGCCCCCGTAGTCGGTGTGCGCACCGGAGCCGAAGACCCTGGGGTCAGTGAAGGTGTGTTCGGGGTAGCGGAGAAGTTTGAGGAACCTGAGCATGGATGAAGTGGAAAGCGATGGGCGTCAGGTTGAATGAACGTGAACAGACAAGTATGGAGAGGGGCGGGTTGTACTCACATTGCTGCGTTGCCTGTGAAGGAATCGAGAATACTGGGAGGATGACCCATGCCCACGACGAGGACCTCCATGACCCTGTGCCCAAGCTTGAGCAGGGCTTCGAAGTACTCTTCGACGGGTCCACGGAACTGGTTCGTGGGGACCTGCTCCGGCCAGACGTTGGGTCCTTTCAGGAATCCGATCTGGTCCTCGGGGAGATCCCTTCCGACGAAGAATGCCTGCAGTAGGAGTGTATCAGTCAGTCAGAAAGCGATAAAGGAAGGCATTGCAGACCTCCTTCTGATCTGGCAAGACGGCATGATGCGGCGTCTGCTCTCCGTACCCCTCATACCCGCGGCGCCAGGTGTTCTTATACAGCGAGAGCTCCGCCTTCTGGTCCGTCGGCAAGTCGAAGAACGTCTTGCATGCGGCCAGCATGTTTCGCTGAACTTCCAGCGAGACCCCGTGGCCCTCAATTTGGAAAAACCCATGTTCCAGACAAGCGGCGCGGACCTGCGCGACCACCTCCTCTTTACTGGTTGGGGAGGTGGGCTCGTAGTATCCCCGCAGATCGATGGTGGGGATTTCAATCTTGGTGACTGTCATATTTTTTCAATTGATCAAAATTACGGGCTGAGGAGGTCAGACGAGGAAAGTCCGGAATGAATGGTCTGAAAGTCGTCAAGGATATATAGTGGGTCGCGTCTAAATGCTGCTTCTACGAAAGCTACTGACTATTGTGGCTTCTTATCCTAAGAGAGGAAGGACTAGGAGGTACAAGGCTATCTCATGATCCTCGGCGTAATTCGGTTTCTTTTAGTATTGTTTATGCACATAGCTTAATGGGCCTAGCGGCAGTACGTTGATATGCAACTAAAGGACCGAATAGCTCTGCCGAGGATAAGATACTACTGCATAGTTATATATCACCGAACGCAAAGAGAAATCACCGACTCTGGGATCTTCCGATCCGTGTCTCATGATCTAGCTCGCAAGCGGGAACTCTTGATAGAGAAGCTGCTCCGAACAAGAAATCAATCCCCTGAACATCGAATTTCTGATGTGCTGTGACTATAGCAACAATTGCGTCAAATAGATTGAATGAAGCCCTTCACAGTGGACTGTAACCTTACCTTCCCTGTTCGCTAAATCACAACGTTTCTAGGATATGGGCCCTGATTAGGACAGAGAAAGATAAAAAAGATAAACATACTAGCAAGTGCATTTCAGAATTCCGTTCAAGAAGAATAACCACATCATCAATTTCTTCCCTCTCAACCTAGACTAGACCACAGACCCAAACTAGAACACCACCAAACTAGAATTAAACTGCGTAAACCAACTTGTGCCCCGAAACCGTCTGCCGCCTCACCAAATCCACTCCCTCCAACACTCCCTGCCAGCCCCCACCCATAACCCTGACTGGATGCACATCCACCTTCCCCTCATCCAACAGCCCCTGCACCTGCTCCGTCAACCGCGCCCCAAACTCCCGGTCCTCCGGATTTGCCTCTCGCCCATACTCCCCATCCAACGCAACTTTGCGCCCGAAGATCGTCAGCGCCAGCAACCAGGACGGGGTGACGGTGTGCGGGCGCTGGGCGGCGATCGCCTCCCGGAAGGGCTCGAGGGTGACGTAGCGCCCGCCCGCGCGGCCAAGAGCACCGTAGCAGAGCTGGGTGGTTTCCGCCAGGGCGAGGCAGTCGAGCGCGTAGGCGAGGGTGTTCTTCGTGTAGGCGCGGATGGCGGCGGCGCAGTCAGGATCGTGGTAGTCGAAGACGGCTTCGGCGCCGAAGCGGCGGGCCAGGTCGAAGTGGGCGGGGGAGCAGGTGGCTACTGGACGGAGGCCGGCTCTATCCCATTTTTACGGCTTAGTATCATGCTTTATACAAGTACCCTATTGGAGGACAGAGCAGCAGAGGCAAAGGTTAAGCGTACAGTTTCAGCAGTTGCAGTGCTCGGGTTCCCGTGGCAGTACTGCCACCCGCAACGAGGACAAAGTCTGCCTTTGTAGGTGAGCTAGCCTCCGGGCTCGGCTCACGAGTGAGAGAAAGTGGGATCTGGAGATGTTGGAAGAGACCCAGTCCCGCGGTGAACAGCCCCAGCCCCAGCGAGGCGCCCTCCTCGAAACTCATCGTGTCCGGGAGCTTGAGGACCAGGTCGGCGGAGGCGGCGACGTATTCGGCGAATGCACCCACGTCAGGCAGGAGGGGGTTCATGCCATGCACGAAGCCTGCGACCCGGTCGCCGACCTTCAGATGCGGCGGGGTGTCACTCCCCAGGGCGACGATGGTGCCCGCGAAGTCATACCCGTGGATGGCCCCCGGGACAGGGCTGTAGTCGAGCATCTTCGCATCGACTGGATTGATGGCCACGGCGGCGGTTTTGACGAGAGCCACATCGGGTTGGAGAGCGGGAACTGGGGCATCGTGATAGATGCTCAGTTGGCCGGCGCCTTCAGCGACGATAGCGGTTTGTTGGGATGGGATCACGGGTGTGGCAGAGGGCATGTTGGCGATGTGGATGTGATTGTGGATTGCAATGGCCATTCCCCATGCCTCGAGTGCCCTTTGGAAGGGCCATTGCACTTATGGTGGGCATGTGGTTGATTGCGCGTGTTGGGGAAGGATGAGAAGCAATAAAACCACCGAAGGCCGTGGTTATCGTGCTTTGGGGAAGACTTTCGGGCATTAAATAGATGCATGTGCAGGTGGGCCTGAAGATAAGGGGTTAGGGCTGTCAGTCTCCGACCCCATGTTAAACTCGTCTTCGCAATTCGGCCTTTCGGTCTTCCGGAACGGCGAAGCTGAAGGTGTCAAGCAACTGTGCCCTCCCATTGTAAGCCATTGCTTCCTGTCGATATTGATTCCAGGATGAATTCTGCCGAAGTCTTATCTCCCAATCGCCCATTGAGTCTACTTCTGAGGACCAAGCATGCAGTCCGAGAGCAAGTCGGTCCAGGAGGGCCAAGTTTGGTGCTCCAGCTCTGAAGAAGCCTCAGCAGGAGACCCGAAGGCAGAGAATGATCAAACAGTCAAACACACCCCCCATACAATTGGCTGGGATGGCATCGATGATCCGGTAGAGGCTTTACTGCCAGAATGTTCTTCCCCAGCTGTTATCCAATAGTTAATTTTGCTTGGTATGTCCACAGGATAACCCACGAAACTTCACCACCGCCAGGAAGATCTATATCACCGCTAACCTCGCCATCTTGACCTGCCTCTCTACCTTTGCCTCTTCCATTCTCAGTCCTGCCAGTCTCCATTTAATGACAGAATTTGGAATCTCGAAAGAGGTTTCGATTCTTGCTACTTCGTTGTTCGTGCTGGGCTACGTCTTCGGACCCTTGGCTTTTGGGCCAGCCTCTGAGGTCCTCGGTCGTAAATATCCGCTCAGTCTCGGTATTTTCATCTTTGGCATTTTCTCTATCCCGGTCGCAGTTGCTAAGAATGTGGCCACTATATTCATCTGTCGATTCATTTGCGGAGTATTTGGCGCGGCCCCGTTAGCAATTGTGAGTCTGTTCCTCCCAGAAGCACAACACACAACACTAACACACAACTCAGGCAGGAGGATCCCTTGCCGACCTCTACGATCCGCTTTTTCGTGGCATCGCCGTCGCGGGATTCGCCAGTGCAACCTTCCTGGGCCCCGTCCTAGGCCCCCTGGTCGGGGGCTTCGTGACCATGTCCCCCCACCTCGGCTGGCGCTGGACGCAATGGCTCGTCGTGATCCTCAGCCTGTCCTTCGGCCTCCTCTACTTCCTCACCGTCCCTGAGACCTATAGCGCCGTTCTCCTGACGCGACGCGCGCACAAACGCGGCCTCCACGACGCCCTTCCCCCGCGCCCGAAGATGACCCTCCAGATGATCGGGCGTGTGTACATCTTCAAACCGTTCCTCATGCTGTCCCAGGAGCCCATCCTCGCCCTGATAACCCTCTATATGGGCTTTATCTACGGGTTCTTATATCTGTGCTTCGAGGCCTACCCGATCACCTTCGAGCAGCAGCGTGGCTGGAACCTGGGCGTCGGGGCGCTGCCCTTCCTCGCCATCACCATCGGGGTTTTGGTGGGTGTGGTGATTGTCATCGCGCATACCAAGACCCGGATGCAGCGCAAGCTGCAGCTGCACGGGGAGAATGCGCCCGAGGAGCGGCTAGTGCCCATGATGGTGGGCAGTGTGCTGCTGCCGATCGGGATGTTCTGGTTTGCATGGACGTCGAACCCGCACATTATCTGGGTGCCACAGGTGGTCGCCGGTGGATTTATGGGCTGTGGTATCCTTTTGATCTTCTTGCAAGGCGTAAACTACTTGATCGATGTGTACAAGATGAACGCCAATTCGGCCATTTCGGCCAATGCCATGTTTCGAGGTCTGCTGGGGGCGGGGTTTCCTTTGTTTGCTACGTATACGGTATGTCCTTGGCCAGTTTCATTTCACTGCTGACCGAATCGTCGCATATCATTCCCGGACTGACTGAATCATTACTCTCCTAGTTCAATAATCTTGGAGTACCATGGGCCATGTCCCTTCTCGGATTCCTGTCCACGGCCCTCGTGCCTGTCCCGTTTTTGTTCTATATTTATGGGGCCAACATACGGAAGTGGAGCAAGTTCAGTCCCTGCTAGGGGGCTCGCGGCGAATGAAATTCAAGCCATACTTTGGCAAATAGATTGTTCGGGTCAATGTAATTTCATTAGGTGCCGCTGAGGGAAAATGATAGCGAATCGCAAATCTTAGATAGCGCAGGAGTTTTTCCGTGCCAGGGTCCAACTAGTTCGTGTGTAGGGCTATTTCCCCATTAGGCCAAACCGGGTGCAGCCGCCGTACGGACATTTAGTGTATAGTAATGGCACTTAAATATAGCTGTACAGTATGGCGCCATCAATGACCCTTGTCTTACTACGTTTTTAGTGCTGACCATTACCACCCCCTTCTCATTACCCCTAATAAAGATCCTTATGTAGGAGACCTAAAACGGAACAGCAGACAACCAATCGCGGCTTAGGCCCTATATGTGGATTTCAACCCTGTCGTAATCGACTTTTGCAGCTATCCACTTACATCCAGCCTCTCCAACGAAAACCAAAGATCGGCGGTCTAATTTCCCGTCATCAACCCCCAGTCACCCTCCGTCCACACCAGTTTCATCTTCCACAGCTTGATTTTCCACAATCCATTCGCATCCGCGGGATCCTTGGCCACGTCGAAAGAGTACAGCGCCCCGCTCGTCAGGCGGGTGGTGTCGGGCTGGTTCCCCTGGCCTGTGCGGAAGTGCTGGGCCAAAGCTGAGGCGGTCACAGTCGCGGTCGTGCTGTCCTCCGAGGGGAGGTTGATGCGCACGTTGCTAAGGAAATGGGTGGTGTCCAGCTTGGAGACGTTGTCCCAGCTGCCAGACTTGATGGCCGCGCGGCCCTCCATCACGCTGCCGTTGAAGTCGAAGGCGGCGTCCTCGAAGAAGGCCGACTCGAAGAGGGGGAGGTCGTTGCCATCGAAAGAGAGGACGGCGCGGTAAACCGGGTCCACGATAGCCTCGCGGAGGGGGAGCGCGGGGAGGGTGGTGGGATAGAAAGACATGGCGAACTTTGGTAGGTAGATTGAATTGAGTGTCTTGTGAATTCAGCTTCACTTTGTTTGGGCCTTTTTTTTGACTTGGCTTGGGGGTGTAGTATCGCCTATGATTGTAGGAGGGACTTATATACAATTTTCCCGATGGGACCACCGACGGAGACCCAGACAGGGCTGAAAGTAGGAGAACAAACAGGCCGGAGACCGAAATGGGAGCCCGAGTCTCCTCGGTCGGGGAGATAAAATCCGTGGCTAATCTCCGTAGCCCTAACCGGCCGGGGGCGGGCCGTACTAGTGTCAACTCGCCACTACGACAGCTGCGAAATTCCCTCATCATTACTGGAGTTGGCAAATGATCAAGAGTATAAAAGCTTCTCCTCTTGGAACTTATGCTCCATGCTTGAGGGGGCGTCAGCCTTGCCCAGCTCTTGGCAGAATTGCTTGTCTTTTCTTGGCACCCCTCACCGTCTCCTCCCGGGCCGTGCCGATCCTCACCCGTTGATGCGAGAGATGTCCCCTTCGGCCGGTCGAGTGTATCAGTGTGCCTCACGTGAAGACTGGCAATGAGTGTTCTTTCATCAGTGACCCCTCATCTAGCAAGCATGATCCGATGAGGGGAATCTGTGAGGGGAATTGGAGAAGATCGAGGTGAGGAGAAGGATAACCAAACCTGAGACCGTCGCTTGTCACCGCATCAATCCGCAAATAGGTTGGTGGCTGCGCAATGGCCGTCCTTCTCCGATGTCAAGTCGTCCGAAAGGAGAAGTACCGGTCTCTGGAACTACAAGTCCGATGCACCTATTTCGCTTCAAGACGAGTCGCAGAAACGCTACCATGGCATGGTCCCCGGCCGAGGCAGGGCTTCGATCTAGACCAGTGTCTCACGTTATCGAAGCTGAAAGGTTTTGTTGAGAGGCAAATGATGCTGAAGGATTGTAATTGTGGCCGATGGATGCGGAACCCTGTGCTGCTTACGATTTCCCCTCTTCCTTTGGCTGGGATGGACTAATATCAAGTCAGACTCCGGTGGAAGTGATATAAGAACGATTCTTCACAACATGATAGCAGCAAAAGTGGAGATGTGCCAAAAAAAATGCAACAGACCGCTGCACTTCCTAAGCGGTTATCCTGCGATCGCTGCTACGCGCAGAAACTGCGGTGTCCGCGGCCAAGTACGAATGACGATGCAAGTTGCATCCGATGTTTAAGGCAGAAGGTGCAATGCGTCTATAGCACTGCTTTGCCCAAGGGTCGGCCCCGCGCTGCGGTCCGTGCTTGTGCTGCTGGAGCGGGAGCTACGGCTGGAGCTCCCCCTATAACTACGACGACGACTACTGCTGCCCCGTCTAGCTCAGACACTGCCCCTCCCATTTTCTCCACCGAGGATCTGGCCTCGTTGACCGGTCTATCCACTTCAGGGTGGCTTCCAGACCCAACTTGGGAGGATAGTTTTTGTTTCCTATCATCCCAAGTTGTGCCGCAGCCGCCACCTCTTGATACCACTCCGCCTCGTTCACTCTCCGCATCAGGTTTAGACAACCCTGAAAATTGCGTTGGGCGGCTTCCGGACTTAGCAACGCGTCTTCACGCCGTTTATCAAACCACACGAGCGCTGTCTGATCATCCCCTCATCACCAATGCCGCGTTTGAAGCTGTTACCACACTCTTCAATGCCCCCTTGTCACCTCCCAGCGCTACCACTACCGCCGCCACCACCAACCTCCGCGAAACATTCACATCCTCCCGTCATCTCCTAGAAACCATCTCTCACCTCCTCTGGACCACACCTAACAACAATCCATCAACTGCACCCGCTGCTGCGGCAGACGAAACAGTGATATACCACTTCACCATAGCCTGCTACAGCCTTCTCCTCCTCATATATGCTACCCTCCTTACCGCCCTCCACCGCGATGCCCTAACTCACGCCCAACCGTCATTGTCGACAACCACCACCACTACCGGCCCCGACAACAACACCAGCACATGGTGCTCAGCCCCCTCCCTCGTCGAACTTCGCCTCGTCCTCCTCTTCCACATGATCACCTATTTTCTGGATCGCCTCCAGCAAATGATCAGGATGTATACCGCCGAGTTTGAAAAGCAGGCTTCCAACAGCACTACCGGAAGACGACCACCCACAAGCGGGAGATGGAGCGAGGAAGTAGAGGAGATGATGGTGGTCGAAGAGCCTTGGGAGCGGGAGCAGCATATACCGCCCCCGCCTCCTCCCACCTCCTCTCTGGGCTCGATCTCTGAGTTGGAGACCCAAGCTCGAGCGGCACTGATGCAGTTGCGAATGTCGTTGGTGGCTACAAGGGGTGGTTTGGTCGATAACTAGAGTGTATTTGCTGCTGTGGTCGTCACGCGTAGAACCCTCCTCTTCGGTGGATAGGTCTTTTTTTGAAGCTGAGTAAGGCATATAAGTGATGACTGTTTCGTAGATGTCGTTGAGTTATATTAGCATTGGGATTGTCTGGGTAGCATTAGAAGCAGACTGTGCCAACAAAGACAGTATTTAGATAGCGTTTTGCTTAGTGATGTACGGTATCCATGTCTTGCTGTTCTGAACTTTACAATGGATTATGTTTGGCGTTTAGCTAGTCTTCTTAGATTCAAATTTAACTGATAGCCAATTTACCCATGCTCTAGACGTTGGGACGAGTATCATGCAAGATAGACGTACCATGTCTTTTCAATTATGAAGGAAAGAATTTGGAGTATAGTAGAGAGCCCCAGCTAAGTTATTCAGCCTGAAGTTTAGATCTCAATCACCTTGGTTGGGATCTCGAAAAGAGGAATTGAATGATGGAGGCTTCAATCATATATCTACGGTGCCTATATAGCCGAACGAAAAGATAATAACTAGAGTGTTGTTATGCTCTCTTCCAATTCATCCCCCGGTGAAAGCTCCTGAAATCAAGCAACTACCCTCGGCCTCACCCGCACTTCCAACTCGGGCTTCTGCCAAAGCCTCATAACGCGACAACGCTGCAACCAATCGCGACTCAACCCCTCATCTAACTCCATCTCAAACGACCAGACCATCTTGGCGAGGATCAGCCGCATCTCCGCGTATGCCAGGTTCCTACCGAGACAGCTACGGGGCCCGAAGCTGAATGGCTGGAACGCGGCGCGCTTGTCGTTGACGTATCTCTCGTCACCGAGCCTAGCTCATTTCCGTCAGTTACAAGAGTAGTTCTTCACCACCTACCGCCACATAGATCTATCCAAGGCAAGACGAAGGAAGGGGTTACTAACCACCGCTCCGGCACCCAACTGTCCGGATCCCTGAAGTTTCTCTCCGAGTGATACGCCGCGTAATGACTGACCGAGAGAATCGTCCCCTCGGGTATCCAATACCCACTCACCGTCTCTCCACCCTTGGGCACCCGGCGGATGAATCCTACAGGGATGGGCGGGAAGAAGCGGAGTGCTTCGGAAATGACGGCGTTCAGGTAGGGTGTCCGCTTGGCGACTGCCTCTAGTGTGATGGACTCATAGGTTGGGAATTCCGAGTGGATCTCGTCCTGGAGGGTACGAAGGACGCGAGGATGCGTGAGGAGGAGGTAGGTCGCTCCGCTGAGTAGGGTGGCGGTCGTCTCGGAGCCCGCGGTCGTCATCAAGGTCGCGTTGGAGTCGATCTCTGCCCGGGTGAGCTTCACGCCCCGGTTGTTGTTGTTGGCGAGGATGTGGCTCATAAAGTCGGGCCGAGGGGTGGCGGTATTGATTCGTTTAGTGACTTGGGTGGAAACCCAGGTCTGGATTCCCTCTGCCTTGTTAGCATTGAGGGTGTATACTGGGATATGTGGGGAGGAAGGAAGGGAGGGAGGGAGAGAAGAGGGTGTACCGCGTATTCCTTTCGTTTCTTAATCAGGCCTTTATCTACTATGAGGTTGCCGAGGAAGCGAAGCCACGGGTAGTAGGCGAGAATGTAGATCATCCGGAGGGACTTGAGGGATTGGAAGAGGAGGGCGACGTATTGGTGGGTTGAGAGGTCTTGGAGGCAGCCAAAGGGCTCCCCTGCAGTGCATCAGAAATGAGTTATCTAGAGGACAGGTGCCAGTGAGAGGGATCATACCGAAGAGAAGATCGGCAATTACATCAAAGGTAGTCCAATTGTACCATTTTACCATGTCCACCGGTTCGTCGTTGGCAGATGTTACTTCTTTGAGTCGGTCGATGAGTTGATCGACGTAACGCTGAACCAGTGGTTCCTGGCCCATGAGCGCCTTATCGCTGAAGGCATGGGCGAGTACACGGCGACCTAGCGAGAGGGTAAGTAAGATGCATGGAGTGAACGGATAAGGAGGCATACACACCTCGAGAGTGGTCCTCATCATTTGCCTGCAAGATAGACGGCGCCCCATTACTCGGAGTCACATACCATACCGGGTCCTATTGATGTTGGTCGCTACAATTCATCTGGACCTAGGACGGGAGGTGGGCTGAATAGCTTACCTTGGACATATTTAGATGCCCTTTCATCTTTCCCGTCCGAAACCCTGCAAACAGCAGAATCAGCCCTGATCTGCCCCATAGTTTGTGATGTGATGAATAACCTACCATAGATATCGGGGAACGCCGTCTCGCCACAAATGAGTGAAACCTCGTTGGGCGCGATGCGTACCACTTCCCCGTATTGTTTGTGCAGAGAGACGGAATTCTGAACAGTTGTGCCGGCAAGCAAATGTCTTGCATAGGGGATCATAGAGACTGCATTCAGACGAGGTCCCGGAATATGGCGGAGGGGATCCAGACAAAGAGCGTAGACCACCTTGCTAATGAGGTAGATGAAGATCTTCCAAGAGAGGTGAGTCAATGGATTTGCTCATGCCCAGATAGAAGGACCAACATACCCATCCGGCACCGATACCTAGAATGACTCGCGGTGTCGCCAACCACTCCAATCTCATAGCAATGTCCATGACTAACGTGCTTATTGTCATTTTGCCTTTAGTCGGAAAGTGGGATGTTTCAGCGCCGGAGGAGACCGACTTTCAATTGGGGTGGGTGTGCGTCGAATACTATCTCGAACGGGTATATATTCTAAAAACACTCAACTATTCCCTCGCCGGATGGTGAACGCGTATACTGGAATGATGAAGTGTACGAAGTGGATTAACAAACTCTCTCATTGGATGTGAGAATTAGCGCCCTTGCTAAGATTTCGGTGGTTTGTCCAAGAAACAGAAAACAAGGGTAGATCATTGCCAAGCCGTCGGAGATCGGTGGTTTCAACTTTAATGCAAAGCATGCTATCAATAGTGGCCGAATTGTTGATGAGGGAAAACCCCCGGGCGCAGCGATTAGGGCTCGAACGGTGATCAATCGGCGACTTTAGTAAATGTCCCAGATAGAAACGATGTCGATAACAAACCCAGGCTTACCACCATGTATCGCAGCTTTCAGCTAATAAGGCACGCACCCAGGACAGGAGCACCTGTCAACAATTGCAACCGAACATCACCCAACCATGGCCCCTCATCCACAACCTGAACCTATCGCCATTGTAGGCAGCAGCTGCCGCTTCCCTGGAGGCTCTAGCTCCCCATCCCGCCTCTGGCAGCTCCTGTCCAACCCGCAGGATGTCTCGAAAGAGATCCCAGAGGACCGCTTTGAGCTGCAAGGCTTTTACCACCCCAAGGGCGCCCACCATGGGACAACCAATGTCCAGCGCGCCTACACGCTGGACGAGGATGTGCGCATCTTCGACGCCGGCTTCTTCAACATCAGCCCCAATGAGGCCGACTCCATGGATCCGCAACAGCGGCTGCTCATGGAAGTCGTCTACGAGGCGCTCGAATCCGGAGGCCATCCCTTGGAGGAGCTCCGAGGCTCCGACACTGCAGTCTTTGTCGGGACTATGTCGGTCGATTATAACGATATCCTCATTCGGGATCTAGAGAGCACCCCGACCTATTTCTCTACTGGTACCTCGCGTGCGATCCTTGCCAATCGGATCTCTTATTGCTTTGATTGGCATGGCCCGTCGATGACCATCGACACGGCATGCTCGTCGAGTATGGTTGCTTTGCATCAGAGTGTGAAGGCTTTGCGGGCGGGCGAAGCGCGGGTCGCTGTTGCAGGAGGCACGGAGTTGTTGTTAGGGCCTGGTATGTCTCCATCTCCAATGGATCCCCGGGCGTAACCAGCAGAATGACTGACAGTCGAGCACATAGAGCAATTTGTGGGGGAAAGCAAGATGAACCTTCTCTCGCCAACCGGGCGATCGCGCATGTGGGACGCCGATGCCGACGGCTATGCACGCGGCGATGGTGTCGCAGCCGTCATCTTGAAGCGACTGAGTGATGCCATCGCCGATGGAGACCACATCGAGAGTATTATCCGCGACACCGGGGTCAACCAAGACGGTAAGTCAACCGGGCTGACAGTCCCCAGCTCTGAGGCCCAAGCAGCCCTCATCCGCAGCACATATGCCCGGGCGGGTCTGGACCTCAGCAATCCCGACGACTGGCCGCAATTCTTCGAGGCGCATGGGACCGGAACCAAGGTTGGCGATCCTCGCGAGGCTGCGGCCATCAGTGGCTGTTTTGGCAGTCAGCCCATCCACGGCAATCCGCTGTATGTCGGCTCGATCAAAACGATCATCGGCCATACTGAGGGGACGGCCGGGTTAGCCGGTGTGTTGAAGGCGTCGCTGGCGATTCAACACGGTGTGATCCCGCCCAATATGTTGCTCAACCGGTTGAATCCCGATGTAAAGCAGTACTACACAAATCTGCAAATCCCGACCTCCCCGATACAGTGGCCGGTATTACCGGCGGGAGTGCCGCGGCGAGCCAGTGTGAATAGCTTTGGTATGTTTCCTTTCCTGCTTTTGAGCTACTGCGATGAGGGAGGTTATGATCTCTCTTTTCTAATTCATCGAACAGGTTTTGGAGGTACAAATGGCCATGCAATCATTGAGGGATACGAGCCAAAGGCAAGTAACTTCGATGATGAACAGCAGCAGCCAGTAGCACCAGTAACTTCATTCGTCTTCTCGGCTACGACGGAGGAGAGCTTAGTCGCTCTCCTTCAATCGTACTCGAACTATCTAAAGATCAATCCGACCATCGACCTCCACAGCCTCGCCTGGACATTACAATCTCGTCGGTCAGCCTTTGCTTACAAGACTGCCGTGGCCGCCTCCACCATAGATGGCCTCGTCTCCCGTCTGGAAAGCAAAGTAAAGCAGGCAAAGAGCACACCACCGACTCCAGCCGGCGTGCGCTCGATGCCAGCGACTCCGCACCTGCTCGGGGTCTTCACTGGCCAGGGAGCACAGTGGCCAACAATGGGTGCTCACTTGATCCAAATCTCCGCTACTGTGCGTGCGAAACTGGAGCAACTGGATCACTCTCTCGCAACGCTGCCGGAAGCCGACCGTCCCTCCTGGCGGATTGCGGATCAGCTCCTGGCTCCAAAGGGGGAATCTCGCCTCGGCGAGGCGGCCCTCTCCCAGCCCCTGTGCACCGCAGTGCAAGTGGTCCTAGTTGATCTCTTGCGCAGCGCAGGAATCACGTTCGACGCGGTGGTGGGCCACTCCTCCGGCGAGATTGGCGCAGCCTACGCGGCTGGCTTCATTTCCGCCGCCGACGCCATTCGTATCGCCTACTATCGTGGCGTGCACGCTAAGCTGGCGCAGGGACGGACAGGCCAGAAGGGCGCGATGCTGGCGGTCGGAACCTCTTGGGAAGACGCTCAGGAATTGATTGACCTGCCCGCGTTTGAGGGCAAAATCCGCATCGCTGCGCATAACTCGGCCGCCAGCTTGACGCTCTCCGGGGATGCTGATGCCATTGCGCATGCCAAACGCGTCTTTGACGAGGAGAAGAAATTTGCACGGCTTTTGCTAGTGGACACTGCGTATCACTCACATCACATGCTGCCGTGCAGTGGACCGTATATTGAGTCCCTGCGGGCGTGTCGGATTCAGGTGAACAAGGACCGCGATTCTTCGTGCACCTGGTTCTCGAGTGTGCGGGCCGATGGCAAGCCTATGGTGGTGGAAGAAGAGCTGCAGGACGTCTATTGGAGTGACAATATGGTCAACACGGTCTTGTTCGCCGATGCGGTCAAACGTGCCGCCGCCAACGAGTCTCTCAACCTGGCCATCGAGGTCGGGCCTCATCCGGCGCTGAAGGGCCCAGCACAACAGAACATCTCCGACGTGCGCCCTTCCTCCCCACTTCCGTATACGGGGCTACTAAACCGAGGGAATAGCGATGTCGAAGCGTTCTCTGATGCTCTGGGCTTTGTGTGGACGTATCTTGGCCCGGGCACGGTAGACTTTCAGTCCTATACCCAGCTGGTGACCCCAGCAGCGCCAGCGCCAAAGCTTCTTGCTGGGCTACCTTCTTATCAGTTCAGCCGCGATCGCGTCCATTGGCATGAGTCTCGTCGAGCGAAGAAGATGCGCCGCCGCGGTGCCGCCTTCCACGAGCTCCTCGGTGTGCCATCCCCAGACAACACCGACCAGGACCTCCGCTGGACTAACTTCCTCAAGTCCAGCGAGATCCCTTGGTTGGATGGACATAAGCTCCAAGGACAAACCGTCTTCCCCGCGGCAGGGTATGTGGCTATGGCGCTGGAAGCCGGCAAATGGCTGGCCGGGGATCGGAGTGTGCAGGTGCTGGAAGTCCGCAACCTGACCATCGATCGTGCCATCACCTTCGACGACGGGGCAGGCTTTGCCGTCGAGACCCTGGTGGCTCTGACTGGAATCAGCCCGATGAGCGCAGCAAAGAACAACAGCAGTAGCAGCAGCCAAATGGCCGACTTCGCGGTCTACGCTTGTCCAAACACAGGGTCGCTGGGTCTGGAGTTGGTCTCAAGTGGCCAAGTGCATATTGTCTACGGCGCACCATCCTTCTCAGTACTCGCCTCCACTCCTCTGGATGACTCTAACATGACCGCCATCGACTGTGAACAGTTTTACTCCACCCTTTCAGGTCTGGGGTATGGCTACAACGGGCCCTTCCATACCTTGGCCGAGACGAAACGGCGATTGGGCCAGGCCTCCGCCACCGTAGCCACGTATGCGTACTCAGATGACGAGCGGCCCTTGATTGTCCATCCGACCATGCTGGACGTTGCTTTCCAGGCCTCCTTTCTGGCGCAGACCAGCCCCGGCGACGAGCAGCTGTGGTCCCTCCACGTGCCGACCTCCATCAAGTGCGTCCGGGTCAACCCCGAGCTGTCGGCCTCGCTGCCCACGGCCTCTGTAGAGTTGCCTCTGTCCGCCGTTTTGCATGAGCCTGAATCCATCTCACTCCACAGCAGCGTGGATGTCTTCACCGAGAACAAACGCGAGACCTTGCTGCAGGTGGAAGGACTGATTATGAAGCCCTTCTCCCCTGCCACGGCCGCCGACGATCGTCCTATGTTCTCCACTATGGAGTATGGTGTCGCGGTCCCCAATGCAGCTGTAGCTACTGGGCATGAGCACCCAACTGACAAGGAGGTCGTGCTGGCGGGGGTTTGCGACCGGGTAGCGTATTATTATTTGCGCGCCTGGGAGGCAAAGGCGGGGGATGAAAAAGAGAGATTCCGCCATCTACTATCCACCTTTGTGGGCGGACAGCATTCATCGATGACAGAAGCGTGGAGCAGCGATGAGGAAAAGGATATCCAGGCGCTGATCAGCCAGTATCCCGAGAGCACCTACTTGCAGCTCCTTGCGACTCTGGGAGACAGCTTCTCGACTGAGACCCTAGCTCAGGCTCTCCTCGACGAATGCTTCAGTCGCGGTGTAGGGTTTGCTCGCGCGAGCGCTGGCCTGGCACGGACAGTGCAGCAGATCTCTCACCGGTATCCACATGCGAAGATTGTCGAAATTGGTACAGACTATCTATCCCTCCCGCCGATGAAAGTGCTGGAATGCTAACAATGATATCAGGAGCTGGACGCGGTCATACCACCGAAACTGTGCTCAGTGCCATCGGTGATGCATTCTCGTCCTATACATTTACCGATACCTCCGATGACATATTCGGCACAGTGGCCGAGACCTTCCAGGCCCACGGCAAGAAGATCGATTACAAGGCCTTCAATCCAGCCAAGGCGCCATCCGCGCAAGGATTCACAGAGCATTCCTATGATGTCGCCATCCTCCCCAACAGCCTCTATACAAGCTCGTCGCTTCAGACAGCACTGGGAAATATCCGGCGTCTGCTGAAGCCCGGCGGCTATCTCGTTGCGTCAGCGATCACGCACGAGCCGGTTCGGGTCCAGGCCCTGCTAGCCGGCGTCTCGCTATCATCAGATGGTCCGAGGGCATCTGTCTCAACCTGGCACAGTGCATTGCGCAACGCTGGATTCTCTGGAATTGACACGATCAGCGCCGAGGCAGATCGACGAGTGTGGCCCGTCTCCGTTCTCACGGCGCAGGCGATCAATGACCGGACCCAGCTGCTGCGGAAACCACTGTCCTCCTTCAAGGGTGGATTTCGCTTGCATGAAGTGGTTATCCTTGCAGGCAAGTCGTGGGAGAGCTCCCGTCTGGCTGAGGAGATCTCTGACCTGGCGGGACGATTTTGCGACAAGGTCACGGTACTCGAGGAGCTCCCGACCGACGACGACGAGATCTCACCCATGGCGACCTTCATTTCGCTGCTGGATCTGAGTGAACCCGTGTTCGAGGAAATGAGCGAGGAGAAGATAGAGGGACTGAAGTGCCTGTTCGAGTTGTCCAAGAATATCCTCTGGGTTACACACAACGCTCGGGCGGGGAGCCCGTATCATTACGCTAGCATTGGATTCGGACGCTCGATCGCGTACGAGATGCCTCATTTGATGTTGCAGTTCCTGGATCTGGATGAGGTAGAGGATGTCGTCGCGAGCTCGCGGGTGATCACGGAGAGCGTCGTGCGTCTGGCGGCGCTGGTCGAGTGGGAGGACAAGGAGATGCTTTGGTCCCTGGAACCTGAGTTGTACGTTGAGAAGGGTCAGGTCCTGGTGCCCCGAATCCGGCCCAACGATGAGCAGAACGCTCGAATCAACTCGCTTCGACGCCCAGTAAGCGAGGTTGTTGATCCTCGTCAAGGTACGGTGCGGGTTGTCCCTCAGGCTGGTGACGGGGCGTCCTTGGTTTTGCGGAAGGAGCCTTGGGATAGTAGTCCCCTGGCCGTGCAGATAAGACAGTCCACTTTGCATGCTCTCGCTGTTACAGGTGAATCAATGTTGTTTGTCGGCATTGGCACCAAGGAGACAACAGGCGAAACGGTCATTGCCTTGTCTGGCACGAATGCCTCTCGCAGCGTTCCCTTGGTCTCCCTTCCTATTGATATTGCTGATCTGGACCAGAGCGCTGGGCTTCTAGCTTCCACGGCCAATCATCTTCTCGCGGCATCAATTCTGACTTCCATCCCCACCAACGGCCATCTGCTCTTGCATGAACCGTGCCCTGATGGCTCATTGGCTTCAGCCTTGGCTTCCCAGGCTGCGGAGAAGAACGTCCGGGTGACTTTCAGTACCAACAGTGCTACCACCGGAGACGCGACGTGGATCAAGCTGAACCCCTGGACACCGGAGCATTTGCTCAAGCAGCAATTGCCAGCGGGACTAACCCATTTCATGGACCTCGCGTCTCCGGGGAGTCAGGTCAGGAAGTACCTGCCTTTGGGATGCAGGCCCATCAGCGTGCATGATCTGGCTCGTGCTCAAGCTACCAATCATTCTCCCGGTGACGACAGAACTGCTCTTCTTGAGTCCCTCAAGGGAGCGGTCAGTAGGGCAATAACAGCTACTGCGACAACAGCCTCGGGGTCCACAGCCCAGACAGCCGTTTTCCCTAGTCAGATCAGAGACCTAAAGCTTCCGTTCTCTCCCGCCAGCATCATCGACTGGACAGTCGAGGCCACTGTACCAGCTGAGGTGCGCCCTCTCGAAGCGACCCGCTACTTCTCGCGAGATCGGACGTACCTTCTGGTTGGTTTAGCCGGCCAGCTGGGTCAGTCGATCTGCGAGTGGATGGCTCGCCATGGGGCTGGCACGGTCTGCTTGACCAGCCGGAGTGCGAAGGCCGACCCGGAGTGGCAGGCAGCCATGCAGAAGCTCGGCACGATGGTTCGATTTGACGTTCTGTAAGTACTTCCCTCTTCCCCTAGTTCACCCACGAGACATGCATGACTAACAGCGTACAGGGATGTAACGAAGAGGGAGCAGGTAGAAAAACTTGTCTCCGAGCTCGGCACCACTTGTTCCCCGATCGCAGGCGTCATCAACGGTGCAGCAGTCTTCAATGACATGCTCTTCTCGGAGATGTCCCTCGAGGTGATGGAGCGTGTCACGCAGCCGAAGATTATCGGGACCAAGAATCTGAACGAGGTCTTCGGGACCACACCGCTGGATTTCTTCGTCGTGCTCTCCTCACTCACCTCGGTGATCGGCAACAGCGGCCAAACCAACTACACTGCCGCCAACGCGTACATGACGGGCCTTGTTGGCGAGCGACGGAGCCGGGGACTAACCGGATCATCGCTGGAGATTGGCCGGGTGGCGGGGATTGGGTATATGGAACGGGCAGGCGACATTGCGCGCGAGCAGCTGATTCGCTTCGGATTCATGGCGATCTCGGAGACAGATCTTCATCAATTGCTAGCTGAAGCAATCCATGCTGGAGCGCCAAGCTCTGCTCTGGCGCCGGTAGTCACCACGGGATGTCGGACAGCACGCGACGACGAGGAGGTTCCCGTGGCCTGGTTCCACGACCCGCGGTTTTCGCATAAGGTGATCGAGGCCCGTGAACAAGGCGCTGTGAGTGAGGGCAAGAAGAGCGCCCTCCCAGTTCAGGAGCAGTTAGCGCAGGCGACGAGCAAGGATGAGGCGTTCAAGGTCCTCAAGGACTGCTTCGCGGCCAAGTTGGCGATGATCTCGCGACTGAGCGATGATCAGGTCGGCCACAACATTCCGCTGGTGGAACTGGGGATTGACTCCTTGGTTGCGGTCGAGGTTCGGGGTTGGTTCCTCAAGGAGCTCAAGACTGATATGCCTGTTCTTAAGGTGCTGGGAGGGGGCTCAGTGGCCGACCTGTGTCAGCAGGCTTTGGAGAAGCTCCCGGAGACTCTGCTGCCAAACCTAGGGGGGTCTGTTGCTGCATCCCCTGCGACAGTGTCGAAGCCAGCAGCCGCCCCTCCTGCACCTAAGAGCGAAGACTCTAGTGCCTCGTCCGCGGGGCCCTCGTCAGGAAGTCGATCTCCTTTGGAGACCCCGTCCACACCCCCAGTGGGAGAGGAGGCAAAGCAAGTCAATCTGTCGGAGGCAGCGGAGAGAGCGGCCAAGTTCCAGGAGGGAAAGCAACCCGATTCTCCCGCGTATGTGAAGAGCGAACTCGTATCGTTTGCCCAGTCGCGCTTCTGGTTCCTGCGTCTGCTCATTGAAGACCAGACAACCTTCAACGTCTGTTTCTATTATCGTATCACTGGCAACCTCCGCGTAGGAGACCTCGAACGTGCCGTGCGTCTCGTCACCAACCGCCACGAATCCCTCCGAACGTGCTTTGTGGCCGATGAAAAGGAAGCGGATCTCGCGCATCAGAAGGTCCTCCGTCAATCGGTGGTCCGGTTGGAGCGAAAGAAGATTGATCGGCTTGAAGAATTGCACGCGGAGTATGCTGCAATGAAGACCATCCCCTTCGACATCGCCAGCGGGAAGACACTGCGTCTCATCCTCTTAACCCTGTCACCCACGGAGAACTACCTTCTCTTCAACTACCATCACATCCTCATGGACGGTGTCAGTCTTCAGAACTTCTTGTCGGATCTGGAGAAGGCATACCAACGTCAGCCTCTTGGACCGCCGCCTCGCCAGCTGCCAGATTTCTCTCGGAGCCAACGGGCTGCATTCCAGCAGGGCAAGATGAACGAGGAGGTCATCTACTGGCGCCAGCAATTCCCTGACGGCCACCACCCGGTCTTGCCGCTGCTGCCTGTGGCCAAGGTGAACACACGTGCGCCAATGAAAGCCTTCAATGTGAACCAGGTCCAGTACCGCCTGTCAAAAACCCTAGTGAACCAAGTCAAGGAGCGCGCCAAAGCCCATCGATCTACAACCTTCCATTTCTACCTAGCTGTCTTCCGGGCGATGCTCTTCCGCTTCACCGAGGCAAAAGACCTGACCATCGGAATTGCCGATGCCAACCGCAATGACAGTGATGTTATGGGCACCATCGGTCTCCTTTTGAACCTTCTTACCCTACGGTTCGAAAACGAGTCAACCCAGTCCTTCGGAGACTGCCTCGCAGAATCTCGGGACAAGGCCTACGAGGCGCTGCATCATTCCCGCGTCCCGTTCGATGTGCTTCTGAAGGAGCTCAACGTGCCCCGTTCGGCGTCGTACAGCCCGTTCTTCCAGGCCTTCTTTGACTATCGCCAAGGCCACCAGGAGAAGCAGCAGTTTGGAAACACGGAACTGGAAATGGTGGAGCTTCATCCGGGACGGACGGCGTATGACATGACTCTGAATATCACGGATAGCTCTGACAGTGCGCTCATCCTCTTCCGGACTCAGGCCGGACTGTATGATCCGACGGCTACCCAGTTATTGCTCGATACATATGTCCATCTTTTGGAAACCTTTGCTGAGAACACATCCTTGGCTCTGGGAAATGTGTCTTTGTTCAGTGACGAGCAACGGAAACGCGCAGTGGATGTTGGACGCGGTGAGTCAATATCATAAACTACGAATGTATCGAAAACTGGCACTAACTATCATTGATAGGGCTGGATCTCAAATCAGCATGGCCGGAAACTCTCCCCCTTCGCATTGACCAGATTGCTGCTACAAACAGGGACCAGATTGCTCTCAAGGATGGCCACGGACGGATACTAACCTACGCCGTCATGATTAACCGCATCGAGGCCATCGCCGAGGAACTGCAGAATTCGGGCGTTCAGGAAGGTCATCGGGTCCTCGTATTCGAAGACGCCACGGCAGACTGGCCCTGCTCAATGCTTGCCATAATGCGCCTGGGGGCCGTCTACGTTCCGCTGGATCTGCGAAACCCTCTGCCGCGTCTGGCTGATGTCGCCGCCAACTGCGAACCAGCCGCCATCCTGGTGGACAACACCACGGCCAAGGATATTGACCAGGTGAATGTAACCCAGGCTAAGGTTGTCAATGTTTCGCACGCCAGTGTGAAGCCCAACAAACGAGTACCCAATGTTTCGCGCGGTGATGCGGTGGCCGCCATCTTGTACACGAGTGGATCAACCGGTAAACCCAAGGGAATTGTGGTCAAACATTCCGGTCTGCGCAACGAGATTGAGGGCTACACGACCCAGTGGGGCCTACGCGCCGAACGCGCCCTACAGCAAAGCGCCTTCACCTTCAACCATTCCTCGGATCAGATCTATACGGGCCTGACCAACGGTGGGACTGTGTACATCGTACCGTGGAGCAAGCGGGGAGATCCGATTGAAGTCAGCCAAATCATCCAAGAAGAAGGCATCACTTACACCAAGGCCACCCCAGCAGAATACGCCTTGTGGCTGGACTATGGGAACGCCAACCTGCGCAAAGCAACAAACTGGCGCTTTGGCTTTGGAGGGGGTGAATCGCTGACCCCAGCGCTTCTGCAGCAACTCGCGGCACTGGGCCTGCCGCAACTGCGCTTCTTCAACTCGTATGGGCCCACGGAGATCTCCATCTCATCCACTAAGATGGAAATCGCGTACCGAGAGAAACAGCCTGAAGGTCGCATTCCGTGTGGATATTCGCTGCCGAACTATGCAGCTTACATCCTGGATGAGCAGCAAAACCCCCTCCCCGTTGGCATGCCTGGAGAGCTGTGGATTGGCGGTGCAGGAGTGTCGCTGGGGTATCTGAACAATCCCGAGCTGACCGACTATCACTTCTACCCAGATCCATATGCCACCACGGAGTATCTCGCTCAGGGCTGGACACGGATGTATCGGACCGGCGACATTGCGCACTTGCAGGCTGACGGAGCCATGGTGTTCCACAGCCGAGTCGCCGGTGACGCACAAGTCAAGATCCGCGGACTGCGCATTGAGCTCGGTGACATCGAAAGCAACATCGTGAAGGCCTCCGACGGGGCTTTGCGTGAAGCGGTAGTGACTCTTCGCGATGGCGATCCTCCTCTGCTGGTGGCTCATGTCGTCTTTGCCCCGAACCATAACATCACTGACACGGAGGCATTCCTCGACCATCTCTTGCAGCATCTGCCCGTCCCGCAGTACATGGTTCCTGTCATGGCCATTCCCCTGGACCGCATGCCGTTGAGTAACCATTCCAAGGTTGACCGGAAGGCCCTCAAAGCACTCCCTCTGCCGCGGCGCACCGTGTCCTCTGATGCAGTGGATGTCCTCAGCGAGACAATGCTCCAACTGCGTCGCGTATGGGAAGAGGTCCTCCACACGGAGGAACTCGGCCTGCAGATTGTCCCATCGACCAGCTTCTTCACCATCGGGGGAAACTCCCTTCTCGTCGTCCGCCTACAATCCCGCATCCGACACCTGTTCAACGTGACGGTGCGGCTGGTCGACCTCCTCGAAGCCAGCAGTCTCAGCGCCATGGCCAAACTGATCGAAGAAAGCACTACAGTCAACGCAATCGACTGGAAGCACGAAACCGCACTTCCAGCCGATGCGACGGCACTCTCTCGCTCCATTACCTCCGCCCAACACCCCCTCAAATCCACCGGCTGCGTGATCCTCGTCACCGGCGCCGCAGGCTTCCTGGGCAAGCATATCCTCACCGAACTGATCTCCCGACCCCACATCCGGCAAATCCATTGTATTGGCCTCCGCGAAAAGACCCCCGGCACAGCGCGAACCCTCGCCGTGTCCTCCGAGAAGATCATCACACATGCAGGGGACCTCTCCGATCCAAACCTCGGCCTGTCCGAATCCACCTTCACCACGTTGGCCCAAGAAGTCGACTCCATCTTGCACATGGGCGCCGTCCGCTCCTTCTGGGATAACTACCACCTGCTACGTGCGAGTAACGTCCTCCCTACCCGGGAACTCGTCAAACTCGCTGCTCCGCGCCAGATCCCGATTCACTATATCTCTACGGCGGGCGTCCTCCCCGCCAATGCAGCAGGGACAGATAGTCTGGTCGCGCAATCCGTCGCCACCCATCCGCCCCCGAGCGACGGATCTCAGGGATACATTGCCAGCCGTTGGGTCTGCGAACAACTGCTCCACGCCGCCACAACCCAGCTGCATATCCCAACCACCATCCACCGCTTCGTTCCCGCTCGATCATCTCCAGAAGAATCTACTGTCCCCGCCCTGCAGCACTTCCTCACCTTCATCGACACCCTCGCCCTGAAACCAGACTTTAGCGGCACGAAGGGTCATTTCGAGATGATTCCCGTGCATCGCGCAGCGGACTCTCTGGCTAGTGCCTTGATCCAGGAACCCGCTGCGGACAAGAACGTGGCCCCTCGCTTCGTGCACCATGAGTGTCCCGTGCGGATCGACATTGGGGAGATGGAACGGTTCATGGAGCAGGAGAGGGGAGACACCCCGCTGCCGACGATCCCATTGCTCAAGTGGATTGGACAGATGAAGCGCAACGGGTTGGAGTATTTTGTCACGAGTCAGGTGTTGATCATGGGGGATGGGGAGGGGTTGGAATCCCGACGGTAGTGGATGGTTTAGTGCTTTGTTTGTTGCTGTGGGTTGAATCCCATATTTGTGTGAACACATGTCCATTTCATTATATTTATAGAGTTGAAGCTTCGAGTTGGGTAGGATATGTTTATCATGAGTAATATTACATAGAATACTAAGTTAGATCTCTTGTGATAAGATCTTTATTCAGCCAGCCTTGTACAAGAAGCAGGATCTTAGATATATAAATGATGTTGAAACATTTACCAAGTAGACCAGAAGATAAATCTCTCTCTTGGTTACTGGTTTGCTCAGGTTTCATTTGTTCGGACAAAAGATAATAAATAAACAATTAACAAGTTTCCTTTGAATGATCTTATCATTGGCTTCCATATATATATATATATATATATATATTTGAAAATATCTATAGCTAGTACTGTCTTCAGTTCAGGAAACTAGATAGATCGTGTAGCTTCTATATAGGAGTCACATAATAAGGCATGGGAGGCCAAGGTCTCACAAATATGCCTGGATGCTAGCTAACCGTTGCTTTTGGGGCGCCCGCCATTGGATTACAAACCACAGCGGTACTCATTGTGCATCAGTGATCACTGACATCCCAGTAACTGCGAGTGCTCGAGGCGCCCGCCAGGTGAAGCTCTACTTGACACAACATATGCAACGATGATAATCCTATATAAATTGCCTATTCAGGCGTTTACGACGTAGCCGCCAGGAGTATGATTCTGGCCTGATTTCATGGCGTGTGCTAATCTTCCAGGATTCTAAAGGATAGACACTCCGAGCGTTTATATATCGGTCAGTTTATCGGAAATTCACAAAATTATGGAAGAACGCAGGGCCTCCTCCACATCATCGCGTTGGAACCCAGGTGTCCGACCCAAGCATACTCCTCTGCTGACCAATCCTATCAAGGTCAGGTTAATCATTAAGAACCAAGGGCGGACTTACTCGTTATAAAACTTGTGACATTGATATTGGTCTGCACATTTGAGCATTTTGTTGGCTTACCAGCTGAGGTAAGTAGGAGCACATTCTTCTCTCGAATGTAACCCTCCAGGTCCTGTAAGTCAAACCAATCTCCTTCTAGTTGCGTTCGTAAATTGGCCGTGACAAGTGATAAAGGGTCCTCCACGGTGTCCCATCGATGGTGACGAGGGACAAAAGAACCGGAGCTTCTCTGGTCGGGATAATGGGTTCCCGCACCCCCCAACCTGAAAAAGGGAATTCCCTCCCATCCGTCCAGCGGTTTCTGGTTTAGTTGAGCATGTAACTCCGCTTTGAAAAAAGATGTTAGGCGTTCGCGGTTCATCATACTAAAGATGAATCCAAAGGGCCTTTGGAGTTGATTCAAACTGATAGAGGGATTGCATAGAGCGAGGTATCCCTGGTGAGAAGCTGCTAGAAGGAGCCTTTCCATGAACTCGGATATCCCTATGATCGAAGTTCCCGGTGAATCGTTGACGGTGTATGGCAGGTTAGCACTGGTAGGTGTGTATAATCCAGTAACATCCAGGGGCAGGTGGAGAGGGATGTTAGGTGATGGGTGCTCGATTGTGGGTTGGTGTGAGGCTGGTGGAGAGTCAATTGTCTTATTATAGTCGACTGAGAGACTTTTCTCGTCGTCGAGGTTTGCTTTGGAAGCTACATTAAGGAATACCGTCATGGTGTCACGTAACTCTGCTGTCAGAGCAGAGTTTGACCTAAGCAGCCCACTTTGAACCAGCTTCTCACTAAAGGATAGCATAGCAGAACTCATTCTCTCAATCGATGTCTCCAAGGTCGATATGTGGTTCTTAAGGCCGTCGAGTGTGGCTTGCTGTCGTGAACGATATGCACGTTGTGCTACGCGAAGTTGCAGGCGACGACGCTGGCACACCAGTGGTTCGGGTTAGAAATGCTAACAACCTTAAGTGAAGTGTTGGCTGAATAGCCTACGAACCTCTTCAGAATTTATCTTGCTATCACCCAACTCTCGACGCGCTCCGCGGTCATTCGCTTGCGCGATCGTCTTGTATCCATTTCGCTGACGTTTTTGTGGTCGCGTTGTGGTCGGTTCAGAGAGGGGTGCTTGCTTTGAGCTCGCCTGGTTGAAGTAAGATGCGAACTCAGGGATGAAGTCGCCAGGACTCGATGATGACGTATTACTTTGAGCATTCTGTGAGTTAGATGATTTGAGCAGGGGATAGGAGCGGGTTGAGAGCAATGAGGTTATATCAGAGGTTACGGACCCCGGTAATGGCGAGAAATCATCCCAGTTAAAGAAAGGCAGGTCATTCTGTGTTTGTTGTTCCATAACGGGCGAAATATTGTCAAAAATGAAGCCAAAGAAGTCATTAGTCAATGGACTGAGTACCGATCGTAATAGAATCCTACAAGCGTTTCCTAATCGATTCGATCAAGTAATTGGATGTCGCCTCGGCACGATCACTAATCATTAAGTTAGATCTGGTTGATGACACACCACCTTCCCTTCCAAACCTACATGCTTACAAATTAGAATCAAACAGAAATTCGCACCAAATGGATATTGACTTTACGGCTCGGAAGAGAAGATCAAAATGAGGACACAGACAGATTTCACCAGTCAACGGAGCAGAGCAGAACAGAAGCGAACCAGGAGGGTTGTAGCTCGTATAGACTTTCTTTCCGCCACACCGCCCACCGTACGGTGCTGATAGGAATGTTGGCACAGAATGTTCCTTCTGCTAATCAGACAAAGTTACAGGAAATTAGTATATCTCAAAATTCCAGCTATCGAGAAAAGTCAAAAATGGGCTAACAAGTTCGATTCCCCTGAGCTGGGATTGATTCATGTTTGACTAAATGTGGAAGATATGTTGACATGTGTGACTAAGGAGTCTCCCCAGTGTTGTAAACTAGTTTTGCGCCACTGACTTTGCCGGACCTGAGCAGCTCTAGTCCTCCCAAGACACCACTTAGGCCATCCTTTCCAACCTTAGGCGGATGAACTTTGATCTTGCCCTGATCCAAAAGCGTCTGAGCCACCTGAGTGAACTTCTTGGCGTGCTCGAAATCCTCTGGCTTAGCGGGAAGAGACATGTCACCGAAATTGAAGGCCTCGCCAAGGATGGTATAGACCAGGATGGAGTGACTGTTGACGTTGCCACGGTCAATTTTTCCGGGCAAGAGTGAAAGGTACGCGCCACCCTCTGTTGAAAGCGCCTGATCGCTGAAATCAACACTAGAAGGAAGAGATATACAGTCCATGACCAGTGTCAAGCTATTATTTGTCTGCTTGCGAATTTGACTGGCGGACTCTGGGTCGTTATAATCGAAGACAAAGTCCGCACCAAGCCCACGGACAAGATCAAAGTTGTGCGGCGAGCAGGTGGTGAACACCTGGTACCCGGAGAGCTTAGCGAACTGGATGGCTAAGGTACCTGTAGCCGTAGAACCGCCATATATAAGAATAGGAGTCGTCTTTTGGATAGGTTGCGTTGGTGGGGCCAGTCCCAAAGTCTGATACAGAGCCTGGCCCACAGTCTGGATACCAACTCCAAGCGTGGCGGCTTCCTGGAAGCTCAAATGTTCGGGGATTCGGAATTGCACATCACCCTTGACAACGATGTACTCGGCGAAAGAGCCATCCTCGGGTTGGACGGCATTACCACCATGGGTGGAACCGCAGATACGGTCACCCTTCTTCCAAGGTAGCTTGACGTCCTTGCCAACGGCCTCAACAACGCCAGAGTAATCACATCCTAGCAGTACACCGGGCGGCGACAGGTAGTCGGTATGCTTCCAGTCAGTGGGGTTCAAACCCACGCTGACAGTCTTCACGAGGACGTAATCATCGCGGAGCTTGGGAATAGCACGGGAGCTGACCAAGCCTGCAGTCTTAGGTTCGGTAACGATGACGGCCTTCTGAGTAGACATGATTGAAGATGAGATGAGTAGTAGTAGTAGTAGTAGTAGTAGTCACATTGGCGTGTATAGAAGCATATTAAATACAACACTTTGTCAAGATTCGTTGCTGACATTTTTCTAACCTCGGATCGGACGCGAACCGTAATCAATAGCGATAGATGAGCAATCTTCGCCTATGGGTCAACCTTGTATCGATGACAAACCTACCAATTTTCGTACGATAGATTATCGTCTGCAGGGTTCCAAATTACATGAGTATATCCATGGAGCGCATGATGGGTAGTATAGGAAGCCTTTTATTATTCAGCTTCGCCTCTTTATGATTACTGATCCGATATTGTCGGCAATGTTGAATCATCAGGCCCGATACGAGCTGATCGCGACATCATCATCTCGAACTTTCTCGTATCCATAACAAGTACACTATTGATAATCAATTAACTCCCCGACTATAAAGATGCCCATAACCGGTAACTGTTTTCTAGTATCATCAAATTTTATTACTATCAAAGTACCATTACACGATGCCTGCTCCGTTGATTTTCATAACTGGTGCTACTGGCTTTATTGGCAGTGCTACCGCTGTTGAAGCCCTCAAGTCCGGATATCGACTTCGAATTGGCGTTCGCAAGAAGTCAGAGAAACTTGAATCATTGTTGGCAGACTATCGCGACCGAGTGGAATTCGTCATCATCCCAGATCTCACCGAGGAGGCTGCCTTCCGAGGAAAGCTGGATGGAGTGGACTATGTCCTCCATCTTGCATCGCCGCTTGCCAACGGCACAGACAAAGAAGCTTTCTTCCCCCCGGCGGTGAAAGGGACCTTGGCTGTACTCAAAGAAGCAACCAAGGTGCCAAGCATCAAGAAGATTGTGATCACTTCGTCTATCGCTGCCCTGATTCCTATCACCGGCATACCTGAAGGCGGTGTCATAAAAGGTAGCGTGGATGCTTGATACATCAAAAAGACTCAAGATGCTGATCTCGGATTTTAGAGGACAATGACTGGGATTTCGATGTCGACCCAGAGGCTGATTTCGTGGATCCTAGCAATCCCGGTGCAACACCCATGACTCTCTACCGTGCATCCAAATTGCTTGCAAATAATGCGACGTGGGACTTTTGGAAGAAAGAGAACCCCCATTACTCACTGGTGACTCTTCATCCGGCATTTGTCTTTGGGCACAATCTTATGCAAGCTGCCGCCAATGAAACTTTAGGATCCAATGGAATCATCTGGGGTAGTGTGATGGGAGGTGTCCCACTTGGAGGCATCACGGGTGTGCATATTCAAGATGTTGCTGAGGCACATATCAAGTCGTTGAATCCGAAGATTCAAAACGGTTCGAAATATCTGATCTCGGGGCCGCAAACAACATGGAAAGAGGTGGCCCGTATTGCACACGAGTTCTACCCCAATGTTGGTGTGAAGCTTACAGAGAGCGCTGAGGGTGGTTCTATGCCTACTGATACCACCAAAGCCGAAGTTGAACTAGGAATGAAATGGCGGCCGTGGGAGGAGATGGTGCGGAGTGTAATGGACCAGCAATTGGGCTTCCTTTCGGGTTGAGCTATATTTAGTTATTGCTTAACTAGATCTCTACTAAAAGATCTAAGAATAGTACAGGCTGAGAAGTATTCACAATGAACAAGTTGAGCATTCTGCTGTTGTTGATTTCGGGTGTGTAGATACTGGGTCATTCTTGCGGAGATTTGAGGGGTCATCCAGTTTCATCAATCAAGGCAGGAAAGCCGGCGTGAAGAATCAGCCTGAGAGCGTTAGCAAAACATTTTTAAGCCAGTCTATTATAACCTAAGGCCATCTTTATAGACCCTTTTTCTTCAGAGAATAGCAAGATGGTTGGCCAATGACACAGGCAGCAGACCTTATATTATTAAAACTGGCCTTCTTTGACAAGCAGACCGATCTGAGTCAGTGTATCGCTACTCGTCCGTTATAAATTAAGCCAAGTGCAACAAAAAGAATATCAGTATTGAAAACATTCTGAGACGGGAAATCCAAAAAAAGACTAAAGCCCTTGTTTTGTTGATGCCCTCAAGTCTCGTAGATTTGTATCAGTACCACAGATCTATATAAGCGTTAGATGGGCACGGTTTAGAGGGCCTGCTCTGGTCGCATGGGTTGCCGCAGTGTCACTGGAGTTGCCAGGTGCGTGCTCAGTGTGCAATCTGTGAGTGTTCCACAGTGCACGCAGATCATTCACGTGCTGCCCATATAAAAGCGCACTAGGATGGGATCCTGACAGTAAGCTCACTTATACGCTAGTAAATGAGCTGCTGTTGCCACCAACTAGTTTTGAACTAACAGTACACACTACAACAGCACCATAAAGTTAAGTTATTTGTCACATAAATCCATAATATAGTCTATCCCATGTATCTTTAACATAACATGCCAAACCCAAACAAACCCGAAATAGTAACATCATATATACAAACCATGCATGAGCACATATACACACTCACCGAGCAGTATCAGCACTAGCCCAGTCACATCTACAACCGATGCTGCACAACCCCCATCTCCTCCTGTTCCACCCCCTTCCCACTCCCCACAGCAACAGACTGCACCTTCACCTCCCCAGGAACAAAATCCAGTCCCGGCTCCGCCCCCTTAAACTCCAACCTCCTACACAACTCCTTCCACGACTCCAACCCGCGTCTCGCATGCTCCGTCACCACCCCCGTGCCCTTCTCCGCCAACGTGCGACTAAACAACTCCAACGACACCCAGCCCTCGAACCCCGTATCAAAGAACGCCCTCGCGGTCTCCTCAATGGGCAAATACCCGCCGCGATCCTCCTCAAACGCAAACAACCTCGCATTGCGACTCCAGTTCATCCGCGCCGGCTGCCCCTCCACATGAAACGGGTGCGTCTCATCCAACGGCCTCTCCAGCCTCTCTCCATCCACAACCTGCACGTAGAACACCTTCTTGACATCCACCGTCTCGCGCAACTTCTTCAACGACGCAGCCAGATCCGCCTCCGCGTTGACCGTCTTCCCGTCCTGCCGACCAGGGTGCGCATACACCCGACCCGCAAGGTTAAACGTATCAAGACAGATACCGAAGTTGGGTCTATCGACCGCCTCGACGATCTCGTACGCCTCGTCCCACAGGTTCACCCGCGTGCCCCAGGCCAGTGCCTCGTATACGAAGCGGAAGGGCGGGGACTGTGCCAGGCCGATGTCTGCGAGGCGCTGGAGGTCGCCGACGATCACGTCCCGGTCACCCGTGGTTTGCTGGGCGGGCGCGAAGTTCGAGGGCACCTGGATCATGTCGGTGTCGAGGATGCGAGCGAGCTGGAACCATGTGGGCAGCTTCACGGTCAATAGATACTCGGTTTGCTTGCGATCGACGAGCCCCTCGTAGAAGGAGAAGGGTTGCAGGCAGATGATGGTGAGGTTAAGGGTCGTGCAGAGAGTGTGCACGGCGTGGGCAGCCGCGATGTGGCTGCCGTTGAAGTGGGTGGTTGCGTAGTGGTCCAGGTCGTCGAAGAAGAGCTCGATCCCGCTGTAGCCGTGGCGGGCGGCTTCGTGGAGCTTCCAGGGGAGGGAGTGGATGCCTGGGCGTCCAAGGGACATGGAGGCGATGCCGAGACGGTTGGGCATTTCGATTGATTTCTTTTTCTTTCTTTTAGATTCCTTTCTTGGTTTGAATTGAGTGGTGGTGGTGACAGAGGGGGTGAAAGTGATGCTTTTATAGAAGAATAACCCAATTCAAGATAAGGAAATGGGAGGAAAAAAAGTACACCTTAATCAAGCAATGTGATTAAGCCGCGTCAACTAGTGGATTGTCGAAACCTTATCGGACGATCTCCTGTCTATAGTAAATGCTGTGTAACGGCACACAAGAAAAAGAAAAATAGAAAGCAATAATTTGTGATCTGTCAAAACAAAACAAAAAGCGTACTTTTTTCTTCAACTCTCTCAAAACAGGAACAGGAACAGGCACCATACTTTAACCATCCACTTAGGGTTGATTGGTGTTCCCCAAAGCTAGAATAATGGAGGAGGAGGGGGAATGGGAAAGGGAATTAGGCCCGCCCGCCCGCGGCAAAGCGCTTTACCCGGGTTGTGTTTATCCGGGGGTAATGTATCCCCGGGAAAGACTGAGTGCCAGGTTTCTGTGGTCTGTGGGCCCGGTGGGCCGATGTTGAGTGTGTGTCTCGCCCTTTTTCTTTTAACCCGCGGATGGCCCCGGGGCGGCAAAAGAGGGGTGGGAGGTTTTATTTAACCTTTATCCATCCCTACTTACTTCTTCGACTTGTTCCTGTTATATGGTCTGGTTGAAAGTTAAGTTGGGTTGGGTCTTGGATGTGGCTGATGCCCAGAGAGTTTGTTCTTGTTTAACTTTGAATGAATATTGGCATTGGCATTGGTATACATCTTCAGAGTTCAGGTAAGTAAATCCATGTTGACCTCTATCGGTCGCTATCATCTAACTAACAATCCAGGCAGTACTGCAGTCGCTCATTCCTTCCGGTCGGTATCCTCCACCTGCTCAACATTCCCCTTAGTGTAGCCTGACTCCTCGAGGTCACGACGGAACCGCGCCTCGTCCTCGTGGATCTGCGCCAACACCTTTGCGTGGGCGCGCCACACGGGCTGCGTCTGGAAAAGCGGATCCATGTTCTCCAGCGGGATACCCTTGGTCTCCGGGACTAGGAAGAACACGAAGGGGATCGACAAGAGCATCAGACTGGCGAAGAAGAAGTACACGCCATAGTCCATCTTGGCGAACATCTGCGGCGTGAAGCGCGAGATGAGGAAGTTCCAGAGCCAGTTGGACCCGGCGGCGCACGCCTGGGCCAGAGACCGGATGTTGGGGTCGAACATCTCCGAGTTGATGACCCAGGGTGTACCGTTCCAGGAGGGCGTGTAGAATGCCGTCCACAGGTAGAAGAAGAAGACGGCGGCGACGCCGCCCCCGTTGAGGTGGTCGCTCTGGTTGTGGGTCGGGTCCACGACTTTGATGTATGCACCCACGATCCACATGCAGATGGATCCGCCGGCGGCTCCGATCAGCAGCAGCAGTCGGCGGCCAACGTGGTCGATGAGGTACAGCAGCCAGATGATCGTTACTACGGTCTTGACCACGCCGAAGATGCCGGTGGTCAGAAGGCTGGAGCTGTTGCCTTTCAGGCCAATGCTCTTGAACACGGTCGGGCTGTAGTAGTTGATGGCGTTGATGCCGGACCCGTTCTGCCAGAAGAAGAGCATGCTACCGAGGAACAACCGGTACAGGATGCGCTTGTTCGTCCAGGCCTCCTTGAGGGGCCTCCAGAAGCCGAGCCCGATCGTGGAGCGCTGGTGCTCCAGCGTCTGGTCGATGGCCCCGATCTCCTCGATCATGTAGATATGGTCGGCAGGGATCTGGCGGATCCAGCAGAGGTTCTTGATGGCCTCCTCGCGGCGGCCACGCAGGAACAGCCAACGAGGGGATTCCTTGACGAAGAGAATGCCGATGATCAGCAGGCCCGCTGGGATCAGCTGGACGGCAAAGGGGATCAGCCACTGCTTGTGGCTGGGAGCCATGGTTTGCTCCACTCCGTACTGCTCGAGTCAGCTATGATCGTAGATTGTAAATATGCTGTAGGGGAGACTTACGTTGATCCAGAAGCCCACGAGACCGCCGACCTGCCATCCTAGCTCGTAAACACCGACCAGCCGGCCTCGAATGGCAGGCGGCGCCAGTTCGGAGATGTAGATGGGGGTGAAGTTGGAGCCAGCGCCGACACCCAAACCAGCTAGCACACGACCGCCGTAGATCAACCCCAGACCGCGGTCGCCGTTGGCACCCAGCATCAGGCCCGCCCCCAGAGTGAAGACCAGAGCTGACAGCATGAGACCCCACTTACGGCCCCAGAAGTGGCCGATGGGATAGGCAAAGAAGGCGCCGAAGAAGGCGCCTGCTTGGTAGCAGGAGACGATGTTGGCACTGACGAGGTTCTGTTTCGCGGTGGACATGGAGTCCCAGTGGAACTCATTCTTGAAGGAGTCGAGGGAGATAGTCGTGCCGATGAAAGCACTGTCGTAGCCGATCATACATGAGGTGAAGGAGGCAACGGCCGCCAGGAGGTAGATACGCCAGTTGTAGACCTCCTTGGGCGTGGGCCGGTCCTCGACCATCGACAGGATAGACATGATGTCTGTCTGTCTGGACGAGAAGATGATGGATGGGTAGCAGTTACAATATTGATAGAGGGAGATTGGGTATGCAACAGTCTGATGGAGACTTAGAAGATGGGAGAGTCACCGGTCAGGGTTATATAGCCCATCCCCGGACAATCGAAATCTGGGGTGCGGAGAAAGACTGGGGGAGGAGGCAAAGGATTACCCCAGATATCAGACTACGCCCAAGCGATTGTTGGGTAAAAACAAAGGGCGGCAAAACAATCTCTTCGTTGCAAACCAGGATCAAACCAGAAGGATTCTAGAGTGCAGGGGAGATAGGATTGGGATGGGATGGGATTGGGCGTGGATTGACTTCTCGGGGAGACAAGACGAGCCATGGACAGGCCTCGTGTTGCGCACTGACCTACACTGCAAATTTTCCGCCACGGGGGAAGAGAACATAGTCTTGGGGAACCAGATAGGGGAAGGGAGACGAGAGCCATGGCCGGTTGTGGGGGGCAAATGTGAGGGAGTAGGTAGCGAGCCAATCTGGTGTCTACTTCGTGAGTCTATACTGTTGTTGACTGGCTCCCTCCGCAATCGGAGAGTCACGGGACAGAAGCGAAGATCGCAGGAGAAGAGCCAATGACAATAACTAATTCCC